ATGTCATTTTTTATGTTGTTATAACTGGAAAAAAATGTTTTATAGGAACTTCTGTCACAACTTTGTGCATAAATAACAGGGGGATAAAAGAAAAAGAAGTAAGAAACACAATAAACTTTGAGTAAAAGGTGAAAATATAATCATATGTATAAAAACTACCCCCCCACCCACACATATCAGTCAATAACAATCAAACAGACAGTCCTCAAATTCAAAAGTGAGCACATACTTTTTCTGCATCTTGAATATTTTCATTTGCGTTGTTTAATTTATTATTAATTGCTGCAGCTCTTGATGTTTCCGTTCATACTTGTTATTCACGTGATCCCTTTCCCCGGCTGATGTTTGTCTCCAGTGTGATCAATACAGAAATGTCTTCTAAATAAAACCAGGTGTTAGAGCAGAGTCGATTCTGCAGCCTCAGCAGGAAACTTTCAAATAACACAATCATTACAATCGCATTACACCTAATGCAGTGTGTGGTGATTGGTTGTGTTATCATGGCAGCTGTGCTGCTCTTAGCAGGGTTATTATCCAGTATCACAGGGTGAGGCTCCGCTTCAGTCAAGGTCTGTGTGTGTGTGTGTGTGAGGGGGAAACTTCAGTTTGTGCTTTTAATGATTAAACTAGAATCACATTAGAGATGCATTAGACGCCTAATGAACCCTCAGCAGGAACACGAGAGAAATCACTCACCAGTTGTTTGTTGTCGAGTTCATCTTCATTTTGTGATCTTTCACCTGACGATGATGCTGAGCCGCTCGTATCAAAGCTGAGGAAAGTACGTTTGTGTGCTCATGTAAGCTAAAAGTGTTTATTTATTATGTGTTATTCTTATTATATCTTGTTTGATCAGTCCTCACATGCATCTGTATTTGGGCCCTCGCCTGTTTTCTGGACAGTCTGAACTAATAAAAGTCTCCGGACAGACCGTCCTCTTGTTGGTGATAAAAATAATGTCTGTGATTAAATCTTGAGCGTCTTTGGGATCAAATAATAAAATCATGATCACATAGACATCCAGAAATCATGCAACGCTTTGAGGGGAGTAAACTAAGATGGAGGGAGGCAGCACTTTTTAGATTTTTCTCAAAGGAGTTCCACAGTCTCAGACTTTTAGAACCCTCTGGTGACGTCTATCCTCCTTTTATTATCTGAGGCTGACGCGGTCACAAGAGTCTTTTCTATCCCCAGCTCAGTTTCTGCTATATTTTGAGAGAAACAAAGAGAATAAACAGATGATGGATAGAAATCCACAGACGCTGGCTGAATACGTCTCTGTGCAAAACTGATAACGATCTTGATTTGACATCATATTATACAGTTTTCATTCTTTTTACATTTACTCTTGATTTTACTTCAAATGTTCCTTCATGCAGATTCGAGGCTGTAACACAGTTGGTTGTCAACAATAAACTGAGCATCAGATAAATAGGATTTATGAGACAGCGAGGATTGTAAGGTCGAATGTTCCCAGAAGGAGTCGCTAACCTCAAATAAATTATGACCGTGTCTCGTATTAAAACATGACCCTGGATGAAAAGTTAAGATAATAATTCTGGGCTGAAAAGTCGTCCACCTCTGACTGAACGTTATAAACTTAAACTCGGACGCCTTCCTCCTCATCCAGTCTCTTACTCTGCATTTTCTCTGAGAGCAGACGGCGCCTTCTCCTTCTGAGACGTCCGTTGTGTCCTGCAACACAGAGGCCGTTGTCTGCCGCGGCACCAGAGCATTGAAGTCCCGATGACCTTTGACCCCTGAGGTCATCGTTGTTGTTGTTGTTGTGTTAAAAGTTAAACTCTCCCCTACTTCGGGACGTCCTCAGAGGCACAGACTGTCCTCAGTAATGCTCCAGCCCCTCAGTCTGAGTGCTGTGAGTCTCTCACGGCGTAATGCTACGTTAGAAACAACCCTGGGGAGAAACAAGACGTTTTGTCAACATATCAGTTCTTCGTGATCAGGGCCGACATCCTGGGTTCGTGCATTAACATGAGCATCTTCCTGCCTTCTGCTGCTGAGCTGATAGAAGCCCTGACGACACCAGTGCAGTCATCATTTAATGAACGCCATTACCCTGCATCAATCTGCAGCAATAAAGCAGCTTCTCTCTGACGTCCAGACTGATAACCAGACAATCTGTCATCAGTTCAGCTCCGTCCATTTGTCCGCTCCTCGAGTCGGACTTCATATCTACAAAATTTGCCGAATGCTCTTTGCAGTTGATGTGAATACGTTTTCTAGTAGCGACAATTGGAGAGTGTGTGTTTTTAAAAGAAGATAAACATCACATAGAAATACTTCTGACTAATTGTATGGCGCCGACAATAGGCCGACATTTGTTTCCTTCATTTTGTGAATTATCTCAATATCAAACGGATTAGCAACACATTTTACAGACGCACTTTTCCTTTACAGCGCCACCATGAGGTTGAATTATCGTAACGTTACTGGAGGGAATAGACAGGTGCTGCGCAGGATGGATCGTGATGTCTTTGGTGTTTTCTTGTAGCGCCATCATTCAGGTCAAAACGCTTGTGAGCATGTTAGCATGCTGTTAGCACCTTGTCTATGGCCTCTTGTCGTATACTTCAACATGTATTAGAGTGGCTTTGTTTGCCGTTGGATTAGCAGGTAGTTATATATCCAGTATCAGTGACACTGTGAGAATGAATATTACAGAATAAACTGACAGGAGGTTAATTCACACGTGTAAATGTGAAACTTAGATCTAAACACAACCCCGACTGGAGTTTCCAGGTTTTGACACGACAACACATTTATTCTGTGTCTGAATTCCTGAAGAGACAATTTGCCCGCAGCCGCAGCAAAAGACCCACTTATCTGCAGCACCTTTAAAGTGCATGGAAAGTGCATCCATGTAAATATTGACCTCACACTCACACACACACGTACAGAGTGTGTGGATCAATACTGAAGCATTCCGGACGTTAATCTCATTTGCACTCGTTTTTTTCTTTGCTGCTGCAGACCGGCAGCCTGCGATCTTCAGTGCAAACACAAGAAATTCAGCATTTAGAGAGATTTATTTCGCTCCAATATTTTATATATTTCAGCCTGGAAGGGTCTCTGTGCCGTCAGAGTTTAGAGGGATAATCAATACTCTATCTACTCATTATCTTCGGTTATTCTGATGTATTTTTTGAAGAGAAAACTGATGTATCTCCAGTTTATGTGGGATTTGAATCCAATGAGTGGCTTGTTTGGATAGAAGTGTAGAATATAGAGATTATTCTTGCGATGCATTAAACCACAGTACATGTGTATCTTGAGATTAGAGGCTGTTAGAAACTAATGTTTGACACAGAGCCGTTTGAAGAGCGGAGCTCGACGGTTAAAAACACATAAATCCTGTTGGCTTCATCACAGCTCTGAGATTAATGTGACACAGGTGACTGACCTGAGCCTCCACTGTTTACAACAACGTAAAACTGTTGTGTTCATTTGGCCCGAGCAGTTTATCAATAACTCTCCCTCTCTCTCAAGAATGGGATGAATAATGGATCACAGACGAATGTTACTTAAGATTCTCATCCATCTGCAGGATTGGATCAGCGGGTCCGCACTTCAAACAGCAGAAACAAATCAAGCGCTGACATGTTTTCAGGTTGGTTATTGATCACTGCTGGCTGCAGCTCTGGGGCCTGGTGGTGACTCTCTGACTGCTCCCATGCAGCCGCTCTGGATTTCAAGGGGCCTCAGGGTTTGACAACGAGCCCCGTCCACGATCTCTCAAAGTCAGCTTTTCCTTCGGCGGCACTCGGCTGTTTATTTTTCCTGTTTTCATAAACTGAATCCATCTCGGTGATGAGGCCAAATGGTGATTCATCACATCCCAAGCAGGACCTCTGCTGCCTTAAGTGCCCTGCGTTGTCCACGTGGTCGGACTGACGCCTCCCACCGAACCTGTCTTTCCTCCTGCCTAATGCACCGAGGAGGAAATAACAACATGGATCATTTCCTTGTCAATAGAGTCGTTAAACGTATCAAAGCTCGTGTGATTGATTGGTTTTAATCATATGTTAATGCTTCAGTAAAAACTTGGCCTCTCCTCTTTATCCATACACAACAAGTAAACATGAGGTCAGCGCTCCTCGGCTTGTTCTTAAACGCAGTTTCTTTTAATGGTGGTGATAAATAACCTTGAGTGGAGTTGTAAGTGTTTTTAACTGGGAGAGAAGGAGGAAACCAGTTACAATAATTTCTACAATTATACATTTCCTGGGAAAAGTGCGGTTTACTGCCCGGTAGAGAAATTACCATCAACTTCGACGTTAAGTTAATTGAGAGCTTTAATGAAAATGGGCTTGAGATCAAGAAACAAACATGTGTAGACTCTCAGAGAAACATCTGAATAAATAACGTTAAAAAACGAAGGTCAGAAAAACTCCCATTGGAGCGGCTCCAGGCATCTTCATGAGATTTTACCTCAAGTTTCAGTGACTCATTAACTCAAACACTAAAATATGAGCGGAACAACATGATGGATTCTGTCACGCTCCGTCATTAAACACTGAGCAAGGTCTGTTCATTTCTTTGGTAGAGAAAGAGGAAAAGATATAAATCATTTTATTTCTCCCAGCATGACGATGACCCCAAACACACAGTCACTGATCTTCACAAGTATGAAACTCAACTCATACTTATACTTGTATGTTTGAGTATTTACAGTTTATGATAGATCAAGAAGAAATATTAAACTTTTTACTGACAGCTTTAGTTTTGATAGTTCTTGATTTAACTGTCTCTTTAAATCTCTGAGATCTTTTGGAAATGAGATGTTAATCCTTCCAGTAGAAACTCTCATAGAGGATTTAGGAGAATTAGCACATGAGAGTGTTGTCGTTCTCATTTTGATGATGAAAAGAAAAGAAGGGATGAAAACAGTATTCTCTCCAAAGGGTTTAAAGTAGTAGTTGTTCAGAGTTTAGTGTTCTCGTAGTCCTCAGGTCAGTTGTGAGTTGTGAGATACAGTTATTATAGTTATTGTTTCTTAAGGACGCTGCAGGAGCAGTAACAAGGATTCAACCTCTGGACGACACAACATCCAACAACTTTCACCACAATGATGCAAACCACCTCACATGTCCCCGACTGTATAAACATCTCGGAGCACTTTGAGTCATGATACTCGTCTTGTTTACTCTGGGGACAATTGGATTACAGAAGATTCCTGTTTTGCAGGGTTCATTATTATTTCAGGGACCGAAAAAACATTCTGGTTAAAAATGATTTTCCTGCCTCAGAGGAGAAATGTGTCCTGTTTGTTTGTTTGTAATCAGGGTGAAGGAAAGTGAGCTGCTCCGTGCAGGCTGGTCTCCAACCAGTGGGTGTCCCTGTTTCTCTCCAATATCACAACTGGACCGGACCTGCAGGGACGCGATGGTGAGAGAAATCTTTCAGTTCATTTGATGCTCATAGATCTAAATATGTTGATTAAATACCAAGCTGGGACTTTGTGTTTTTTTTTTTTGTGTGGAATAAAACAAAAGTTGTGCGTTTTTCTTTCAGTGCTTGTATTTGCATCCACCTCCTCTTGCTTCCAATTATCACAGAGGGCTGGGCCGGGTGGCAGAGGGAGACTTCTGATTGGTTGAACCGGCTGTCGGTCACACCCTCGCCCTGTAGCCGCCTGTTGGAGAGCCCACTCCACACCAGAAGTCAGAAAGTCCAATTTCAGCAGAGGCACTGGAGGAGAGGTGGCTCATTTATCCGGTTCATCTCATCGCTCCCATCACGTTATTTAATAAAAGTCGAGTCTTTTGACTGACAAGTGTTTGGTACTTTTCTTCTTAATGTGGTTTAGTTGTAAAAAAAACAACGTTAATTGGTCTTGGAGACTTGTTGGCTCCTTTCTCCGGCATTTTTACGCGCCGTGCCAGCCCCGCGTTGCGCGCACCTGAGTCTGTCTGCAGCTTCAACATGACTTTAACGCTCCAGAGCTTCTAAACCACGATGGTGGCCTCCCTCGCCGGTGGCATGCTTGCTCCAGGGAACCTCGGTAACTGTGGAATAACCACCGGGGTCCAGGTGTCATGACGGAGAGCCGATGTGGCCGTTTGGAGGAGCGCACTAGTTTGACGCCAGCTGGGATTTGACTTGACAGAGCGGCAGGAGTTTGGGATGCGAGAGAAATCTTAAGAGAGACAATCCCTCTGCTTCTTTCACCTGGATTCAAACACGGGCTGCCCGGAGCCATGGCCTCTGAGGTGGTGTGCGGGCTGATCTTCAGGTTGCTGCTGCCTGTGTGTCTCGCAGCCGGTGAGTTTGTCTCTGATCCATGTTTTTACGCGTCTGTGTTGGCCTGTTCTGCTGCTGCTGCTGCTGCGAGGTGTGGTTGAATGATTGATCAATTAATAGTGATGAAGTTAATCCACCATCCCACACATCTGTTCATACTGAAATCCATCTGAATGAGGGCTGAACATTTGACTTTCTATGTTTTTATGATCTAAAAATTGCCCTTTTTCCTCTTTTCCACCTTAATCTGACCTAAATTAAAACTCTCATGGTGCAAACTTTAAATATTTTGTGTGTAGGATGTCAAGAGCAGCAGATTTATGCTTGTGTGAGCATTTATTCAGAATGTATGATGGTTTCTGTTTGACCCCGTGAGGCAGGAGGTCACAGTTCGTCCCTCCTCACCTCTGAGATCTGAGCTTTCAAACTGAACCCAAACAAGAGTCACACACCAGCTGTTAAAGAAATTACAAACCACATCACGTGTGAGCACCGATCCTCACCTGTCACATTTTTACTGGAGTCAGTAAAAGGACAGAACATCCTGTCGCTGCACAGTGTTTAGGTGACAGTCTGGAAATGTCTCGTCATAATGTTTGGTACTAACATCCCCACATCACAAACTTTCTAACTCTTCTGTTTCATTTGAATCAGTTTTATTTCAATTTGCACGAGAGAAAGAAATTCATTTTGGTGTCAAGAGGTTTGAAAAATACACTGAACTGCAGTAGCACTTACACACACATGTGCCTCCACAGAACTGATGTGATAGTTTCCATTGTGGTTTCTGAGTTTTGCCCAGTGGCTTTTAATGAGTCATCATTGAATCATTTGTGCTGTTATTGATTGATTAGCTGCTCCTGGACGTGGAGTTGTGTTAATATTATTGATTAACATTTACACAGCCTTGACAGTGTTAGAGCTACATGTCGTGTGTTGTTTCTCATTCCTCCGAGCTTCAGTTGGTTTGTTTACAGCGTTTTCTAACTTTGTTAAGAAAAGTTCTCCACGCAGGGAGATGTTGTGGTCGCTGTGTTATTGGATGTTTTCGCTCGATTCATTCTTTCGAGATGCAGATTTCTGTGAGTCACACATCAAACCTGGCGGCTTATTTGGACCCAACGGTGACCTTCAGCGGCTTCGAGCAGGATGACGGACAGGATAACGGACAGGTCACGCACTTAGATGCAGATTTGTGGAGATGAAGCCGGCGGTATGACGACGCCTCGGATGCAGACTCTATTAAATGCAGTTTACTTTGCGTTTTGTAGCAGTAATTCTGTGGTAGGCCACAAATGAAGAGAGATTAGCGTCTAACTGCCACTGAGGTTCCACTCTGGTGTCTGTGTGAGACTTATTATGCTGACGTGGAAGCTAACAGCATGCTTTCTATAGATAAGACCCACTCAGTACCACCATAATGCATCACTTGACAGCCCGACGCCCCCTTTATTTCCAAAAGCAATTGTCAGGCCATGCATTGTCTCCATTAATTCGTGGAAAGTCGTTTTAACAGTATGAATTAATAATGCGGTTGTGAGGGAGAGAAGAATTGCCTTCCCCTTTTATCGTAAACATACCTTTAATATTTGATGTTTTTTCAAAGTGCAAATGAGCACAGCTACTCTGCAGCCGTGCAGCCGACAGGATGGAGCAAATGTAAAGTGGACGGAGGGGAACGTATGCGAGTACAGATGGCGTCAGGGAGGAGAGAGGGTCATCGGCATCACCTGATTCACAACCTGCGTTTTCTGTCGTCTCTGTTTTTGTCAGAGGATCTCGTCTTAATTAAAACCAGCGGATGCCTCCGCCAGGGCCCAACAGTAAATTCAACCAAGCTGCACCAAATTAAACACACTCACAGAAATCAGTTCCCTTCTTCATCAAGATCCACGAATGATGAGAAACAAATGAGGAAAAACGCCCTCACAATGTTGAAGAAAGTGGAATCCAGATCCCCTCTAATATTTTATGGTTCTTCCCTGACTCCACATCCTTCCAGGAAGTTTTGTGGAAATCTGTTCAGTTTATTTTTGTCTAATCTTGCTTACGAACAGAGAAAGATCCTTTTTGGAGGTAATCAAACTACTGAATGAATCAATAACCATCAGCAAACAGTCTAAAGCTGCTAATTGGTTTTTCTTCATTGTTTGTCATAGCAAGGATTTGAGTTTTTACGTCTTCTCTGTCTCTTGGTTTCCTCCCACTTCTTATAGTTTTGGTTTCGATGTCATGTGATTGACGGTAAAGTGAGTTTTTGTGCTCGTGGTCCTGAATAAACAGCCCAGCAGATGTTGTCCGACTCCAAACGTCTACAGTTCTCTTGCTGCACATGTCCAGCAGAGTAATATACATTTACAGATCCCTGTTCTCGTGTCCCAGTGAAAGACTCGTCTGCTGAAGTCTGTGTTTTCTGTTGGCCATCTGACAGCACCTCTATTGAAAAGTGCAGAACTGCTGGGCCTGTGTGTACACAGTCCCTCTACCACACACACACACACACACACACACACACACACACACACACATTTGCACACAGTTGCAGTTTGGCTGATCAAACAGGCCCCTGTTTATGTGTTTACTGGACGGGTTTGGAGTGTGAACATGATTATGAGCATGTAGTTTCCCAGATGTCTGAGCCGACATTGAACATGCGTGGATCTCCGGACAGCAGCAGGTCAGTTGTGTTGCGTTGGCTGCAGCAGAGTAAAGCACAACTGAAGACAGACAGAAGTGGACGTGCATCACTGCAACCATGTTTTTAAGGTTTTAATTCCAGGCAATTTAAGACAAAATCAATTTCTGCTTACAAATCGCTCCTCCGTGCTGTGCTGGTGCGTCACCAAGCTACAAGCAGCCACGGTTTAGCAGCAGAGATGAACTGACTGTAGAAATACTGCTTGTTACAAATAGCTTTCAATTAAAACTCAAACTTAAGCTTAAATTGTATCGTTGAGTTAAAAATACAAACCAGATATTAAACATATTCTATATGTATATACCAATATATAAAGATGGACGGCTCCCTAAAAGTGAAGACAAAACATTATAATCTCCCCCTGGTGGCTGGCTGCAGTATAGCTCCTCCATGTTAGCGGATGGGACATGAACCAAACTGAATAATTAATCTAGAGAAAGAGTTAAAAAATATAATATGAAAACCATGTTTTGTTGACTTGTTTACTCTTATAATGCAAAAATATTTCCTGTTTGTATTAATTAATAAACAGTTAATTGAGAAATTGATTATCAGATTATTTGAATGAAATAAAAAAATATATATATAAAAATAAAAATGTTGAAAAAAAACTTCCAAACTGTTTTTATTTGTTGATGAGATGATGCAGAGAAACTTTTTATAAACACACCAGGAAAAAAGCAGTGACTTAATGTGGTGTGCTCTGTGGATTTAGATTCCTCTGTTATCTCCCCCGTGCTTGGCCTGGCCAGGCACCGCACCGCCTTATCTTCCATCACCACATTTATGTTTTTGGGCTCAAACTCTGAAGGCGGTTGGCTCTGGTTTCACTTTGCTTCTAGTGTCAAGGCTTTGCATGTGTCTGTAATAATAGATTTTACTGGGAAAGACAAAAGCCTGATTCACCCGTAGATGGGATTTTTTTTTTTTTCTCAGTAATTTGATGTCTGAAAACAATGGCAGTTTATTTTCATTCCCTGTGCAGAAATCCTCCGTTGGTGAGTCACACAGGCAAATGGTCAGGAAGACTGCGGTCAAGTGTCTGCAGGCAGGCAGCTGGAGCAGAGCCACGCAGATACAGACTGATTATCTCCTCACAGCACAGATACAGAATGACTGCAATAGATTTGTATTTGAGCAGATGAATAACGGGGGCTGCCGGTCTCAGGCTGCCAACTTGGGCAAAGTGGGCATTTTTGGAGCTTATTTAATGCCACATTTAAACCGAGATAAAAAGAAGTGGGTGGGGAAGGAAATGGTGCAGAGTTCGGCTCGAATAAATAAAAGATCTCAACTACTTGTTTAAAACAAAAAAAAAATGAACGATAATTATAAAGTGCTTTATTTGTGCTATTATATTCTGGGTTTTTCAGAATTCACACACAATGTCAGTCATTCATTCAAACTTGCCGCTCAATCACAAATCTACAGATGTTTGTGCTTTGCCCCGAAGACGACAGCACCAGCGATATTTATTTCTATTTTTAAAACTTTTGTTTCAGTTTTCATTGGTCTCGATCTGAGCACCGAGAAAACGAGCAGGTTCGCTCACTGGAGCTCTGGCTCGGGAAAAGTCACCGGCAGTGTCGATGAATAGGTCCATTGAGTGCGCAAAGATAAATAAAAGCACCAGTTAAATGTCATTTTTCAGTAGTTGTAGACCCGTAGCTGCTTCGACGGGACGATCTCTGAGACTTACGGTGACTCACGAGGTCGACCAGGTCATAAACTTTGTGCTTGTTGATATAAGTGCTATAAGAAATCTGGGAGGCCAGACGGTGGGTCCACATTTTATACAACGTCACTGTGCACTTCCTTCCCTACAGCTACTAGATAAACAGCTTAGCACACAAGTAAAACTGCGAGTTGTAAATGTTGCATGACGAGAATATCCCTCATTAGAGTGTGTACTCCCGCCGAGGCCCAACAGTCCCCCTTATGAAACCACATTAAATTCACTATTTGTATTTTTGTTTGGATTCTGCACGGTTGAGTAATTTCTGCACAATCCTGCTAGCTGACAACAAAAACCTTCCTGAGTTGAATTTACGGATGAACTCAGTGTTTGTAATGTACGAGCTCCAGCGTTGAAGTGGTGTTCTCTGCTGCCTGGTTCACTTTAACTGATGTTTAGTCAGCAGGTGACACGAGCCGTTTAACTGGTAAAAGCCTCGGTCAGCGCAGATGGTCAGAGCCACTCGGGGAAATGAGGTGTGCTGCAGATCAATGCATCAATTAATGGTTTTTGGAAGTCTTGTTTGCACTCAAGCGCTTTAACTTTCATCATGAGCTCAAACGACTTCTCTAGTGTGCTTGGTGTTAATGTTAGGAGTGGAGTGTGGAGTTACATAATCCAGTGTGTAGCAACAAATGAAACGGCTCATTAAATTCAAGCTCGACTGAATTCAAAGTATACCGCTGCAACTAACGATTACTTTCATCCTCAGTTAATCAGCTAATTTTTTATTGGTTCATCTACGAATCATTAAATCTATAAAATGTCGGGAAACGGTGGAAAAAGTCGTATCACACAGTCTGAAGCCCAAAGTTGGAAAGTTTACAATGAGGTAACCATTTAACAAAAATAAAATGCAAAAATAACACAAATGTAAAATGAATACATTCTTTTATCAGCTCTCACTTTCTTCCTTCATCAAAGTCACTAAAATCAGACTCTTGCTCCATGTGGCCGAGTGTCATCTCAGAGTTTTGGCTCCCAAACTTGATTTTCCTGTTTTCGACACTGCATCGTACATTTTAGGGACATCTGCTGCGTGACAGAGCTTTGGTGGGTATTCTCTGATCTGCTCTGTTCCAGATTTTTCTCATAAAAGAAGGATCCAGTTTCAATAAAGTCTCACAATCCATGAAATTCTAAAGGATTCTAGCAAAATGAAATCATCACACATGATACAGAGCAGCACTGTGTGAAGCCTCACACTTCACAGAGCAGCAGATCTGACCTCTGGCAGTCGGTTAAATGTCGGGTGATTGTTGTAGTAAATGTCGATTCCCTGAATGACTGAATTAAGCTCAGGCTCTTTGTGCAGCGGAGCCCAGACGAGTAGATCACAAGGCGTGTGAGGGTGAGGTCTGGGTGGAAGAATGTTATTTACTGGTATGAGCAGCTTCTCTATAAGAAGCATTTTATTGACCTTCACCATATGTTCCTCTCAGATTTGTGATGACTCATGACAAAGCAGCTGGTTACCACAAGTTATGTAATGCAGTATTGCCCTAAAAGCTGTAAATACCCTTTTACAGTACTGGTATTGAAGCTTTAAAAAGTATTTGTTGTTGATTGTCACTTGAATGTGCCTGTTTTCTGTGTGTTTCCGCAGCTTGCCTGTTCAGGTACAATGCCCTGTCCTTCGTCTACCTCATCTACCTCCTGCTCATCCCGCTCTTTGCAGAGCCTTCAATCACGTCGATGCAGGGTAAGATTTCTCTTCGCAGCTTCGCACGTTTCACCGGCTTCATGTTGTCTCATCGCACGACTGTTTCCCAAAAAGTCTCCAGTTTGAGTTGTTGTTCTCTGTAACACAAGCCTTCTCCAGGGGACTTGAATTTCTTTGAGATGAGGATGGATTTGGCACCTGTGTGAGTCCATGAAAGGTAATATGGCTCAGTGCGGGCACGAGTCCATCTGTAATAATAAAAATGATGCACAGCAAGCCAGATCTGAGATAGGAAGCTACGGTCCATCTGGGCCAGACCTCATATCCACTTGATGAATATGATCATTTTATGCTTTGGTTTTTGTGCACATGTAAAAATAAAAACTTTAAAGAGAGGAAATTGGACACACAAGTGTTTTTGGTGAATGTTCAGTTGCGGTTTGGTTGTTAAGCTCTCCAGTATTTTGAAAATGTGAAAAATGAAATCCACACTCGCCACGTGAACATTGACATGGTCCAGCGATCGCTCATCCAAGAGACGTGAATCACTCTGCACGTCTGAGGTTTACGAGAAGCGACAGAGGTGACTCGTCTCCTCACAGGTGGTAAATGTGGGATTGTGGTCGTCAAGTTCCGCCACGCCTTTATGCACTGCCCTCACCGCAAAGCATTTAACAGCACAACCCCTCAGACCGCTCATTATATGAGTTTCTGTCGGAGACCACATGCCGTGTTTAATAATACATAAACCCATATCGGCGGCAGGAACAACATCCAGGCCGAGAGCCGTCTGCGCTCATCTCCAGCTGAAGTAACAGTCAGGAAGTAAAGGAGGAAGAGAGGCAGAGGAGAGGAGAGAGGAAATAAAGTGGACCACTCACACTCTCATCAATAGTTAACGAGAGGAGTCTTTTAGTAAAGCTGCATGTTGACTTCAACAGATGTGTCAAGATTGATCTATGTTTTGGACATGAGTGGACAGCAAAAAGAAACAACACTGGGTTTTTTTTAAATTAAAATAATTAGGTGAAGTTTTCTTGGGATACAAACAAGATTGCAACAAGCTACTACTTCCATTGTAATATGAGATTAATCTGCTGATTGTTTTCTTTACATTTATTAGTTGCTTAGCGTTGACCAACTGTGAAACATCCAAAGATGTTTCATGATATAAACCAGAGAAAAAAAGGATCAGGAACAAGAAGATTTTTGCTTAAAAAATACTTGAGCGATTAATTAAACATCAGAATCGGCAGATACGCACGTGTGAGAAACTCTGGTAGATAGATTTCGTCAGCTTATGTTTATGTAACCTTTGTTGCATTAAATGTAAAACTATCGTGTAAACTGCCTGAGGTGTCAGACAGTATGAGATATTCTGTGAAACCTGCCAGGACCTGATCCTCATGTGTTGTCCTCACATGTCTGTCTTCAGGACGGCAGGAGAAAGAATCAGCGTGAGGACGTCACAGTGAACACGGTCTCAGCTGCAGGATTATTTTTACTGATTGTAAAATGAGTGGAAAGTATAACTATTGCAGGACAAACAGGTTGAAAAGCATTTCGCTTGAGCTCCACAGGATTTTGTAAAATTGTAAAGTTTGTACTGTCCTGTGTCAATTGTTAATAATTATTCCTGACTGAAATATTAACGAGATAATCTGTGGAGTCGATGTTTATCTCCTAAAGTCTGCAGAACTGCTCACTTCATCAAACAATGCAAACTGTATAAACATTCAGAATATACACTGACAGTGTAACCTTACAAAAATACAACTGTGCAGTTACATTTTATTAATTGTTTCATACAGAAAAAGAGATGAAGCAGAATTTGTTTTGATGGTCTGTTTGATTCTTGTCTGCTCAGTCTTAGAGAACATGCAGCAGCTAAATCTGTAAAGTTGCTTTAAACCAAATGTTAAACATAAATAATGCATCAGGTATCATTTGCTTACAAAAAGCCGCGGCGGTGCCCGAGGACACGGCAGCATTCACTTCTCCGTTCCAGATCTGCAGACAAACTTCCAGTGGTTGTTTGTGATTTACTCTCTAATGTCTTAATTGGCAGTATTTGGCTCCGCTGCCTCTTGAAGGCATTAAATTCTCAGTGGCAGTGAACAGAATCTAAACTAATCCTCCTGTATGTGCAGCAGCCGTTACAGAGAGGTGCTATGCGCCTCGTTTGAATGGCCACTGACATGATCACTTCCCTCAGAGAGTCTTTTACCACTGTAGCATGGATTTGTATAAATGTCTCTTATGCTTGATTTACCAGGTTTGTGTTTTAGCTTCTAACGGAGCTTGTCTGGTTTGGACACTTCTCCTCTGTTCATCATCCATCCTTATTGTTCCTTCTCCAGATCTGAGACGTGTTTTTTCTTCTCTTTTCTCAAATCTGGCCCAGGCTTCTGTAAACGGGCCAAATTGCGTCGGTGTTCAAACTGTTTCTCAAACTTTTCCATGTGGCTAAATCAGATGTTTTGAAATGGATTCTCTGATTGATTAGAGGAAAAGCAGTAACTTTCAAATCTAAACAATGCCCTCTGTTTTGGAGCATTTTTAAGAATACTCTTGAGGAGGCACTTTGAGACTGATTAATGAAGTGACGCGAAAAATACTTACTGGAGAAGAGCACGAGGAAACCAAGACAAACGGCCGTCAAACAAAAAAAACTGGTTCACCAAATAGGAAAAAAAGGTCAAAGGAGCCAAAGCAGTGGATTGTCCAGAGCCCTCGGACCAATTTGGATGCAGAAGCTTGCAAACACTCCTCATATTTACAAGCATTCTTCTCCCTCCCTGGGAATTGCAATGGGAAATTACCACCAATTGTTTTCACTTCAACATTTTAACACGCTGCTGTGTTGTTGCACATTTGATAAAGTTCGCCCTCAGCGGCCTGAGGCTCCGCAGCAGTGCTTTGCCAGAGTATTGTGCCACCACTACAGTGCAGCTATTATGTGTTCCCGGCAAGGATGCAGTAAATTTAATAAGATGGAGATGATGCCCCACGAAGACCCAGTGGAATAAACTGTGCAGATATGTAATACACTTTATTCTCTCAGGGGCGGCAAGGGATATTGTAATGACATCATCAAAGACTCATCCTTCCCTTAGGATCAACATTTTTTATTTTGCCTGTCAGAAAAAATCCTACTGTCGAGAATTATCACCATAACAACTCCTGAAATTATCCCAAATACCTGTAGGGGCACTATAAAATGTCCATGTGTTGAACAGCTGTGGCAGCTCCTCAGACTCCGCTCATCCATCCCTCCTCGGATCAGTACCGTCCACTCACAACTGTGTTCTTACCTAATTGTGCCTAAAGTGAAGACACTGGGTCCGTCAACGCCGATATGTTACAGTTATGGTTTTGAAAAAAGCCAAATATTCATCTTCGAACTTTCAAAGCTTTTCAAACCGGAAACCGAAGAGAGAGAGAGATAGATCAGGTACGAGGTCTGGTTTTACTCTGTCGCCGATCAGCTGGGGGCTCGGAGAGAATTAGAGGTCTCGTAGGCCACAGGAATGTTTGTTTGACTTTTCAACCAAAATAAGCTTAGCTCAACGGTCAAGGATATGTGTCATGATCCACTGAAAATCCCCCTTGGATGCTCTCCCAGTCACCTCCACTGTCCTCACCGGTTCATACGAAGCAGCACCACAGCTGATCGCATGAATATGAATCATTGTTCTTGAGTTTTGCTATAGGAAACAGCTGTCCATGTTCAAATACGGTCCTGCCCTGAGATTACTTTGAGAATCCAGAAATACGAGACACTTTTTAATGTTGCACAACTCAGAAATGTCTCAGTGGCTCAGACGATGAAAGAAATATACTTTTTCTGTGTTTGAGTCTTGAAATAACATGTGGAAATCCTTAAAAGTGAGAGTTTGTGGTGGTGGTGAATTCACTTCAGCCCTCTCTCCTCCTGCAGGCCACACAGGGCGTCTGCTGCAGTCCCTGTGCTTCACCAGTATGTCCTTCCTGCTGCTCCACATCATCTATCAGATTACCGTCAACAGCCTCCTGGCCGGGAACTCCATCAGCTCTGACTTCAACTGTGAGTACACTGCAGCCTTTATAGTCCAAGCTCCAGAAGTTGTGAGGTTTGTTGGGTCTGGACGTAGAACTCAAAGGTGACCAAAGCCACAATCCAACCTTTGTTTTTAATGAGGTGGTGCCAGAAGAAACGACTTTTGCAATATCATAATGTTACGACACAAACTAATAATATACACATTTTCTCACTACATGAAGAACGAGAATTTTTACTGATTCATCTTGGTTTTTTAGGCTGCGAGAAAATCTAGCCAGATTCTGCGACTTGTCGGTGAGTCCCTCATTATCTACTCATGCAGACGGAGGGATGGATAAATATAAATGGCCCAAAGAAAAATAGATTTCCTTCACCTAAATCTTACAACCTGGACCTTTAAATGTATAAAAACAACAGAGAAGAAACATAAAGTGTCTCCATGCTGCTCCGGAATCGGTCACCATTCACTTCAGTTGAATTGGATTAGGCTGCAGCTCCTCCATCGGCTTAGTGATGAGTGGATAATGAGTGACTTTTCTTTTTTGGGTGAACTTTCCCTTTTAAGGTGCCGGCACTCAGACACTGTTTTGTCCAGATTTGGTAATTTCAAGTCATTTAAGACCAAAAGGAAAGAAATCTCTGCTTATTTCGCCACATGTTCCCAACACACGTGTGAGCCATCCATCACACAGGCCGTCCCTGTGCTCACACCCTGACCTGAGCCGTTGATGCGGTGTCACGGGGTCGTACATCACAAGAAAGGGTGTAGCTTTTTTCACCACCCAAAAAGTTTCCACCTAAAAAAAAAAAAACTAAGTGAAGACATGTTCCACTGGCAGAAGCAGGTAAAATATGCTCTCTGATAATAATTCACAACCTCAACACACGTCCCTGCTCTTATTACATCTAGCCACATTGTGAAGATTTATGAATCTCACACATTCCTCAATGTAATTAGCCGCCTTGTGCCATATGGGCACAGATTCTCGCTGCCAGTAAAGCAAACACTGTAAGAGGAGGCGTTAATGGTTGGCGTTCAACTTCTCATGAAACCGTATCAAACTGTGAAATTTGTGTCCAGGCGGGACAGACCCTGACCTTGTGTTCTAATGACTTCTTCTTTCTAATGGAAGAGCCTCACTTTCCAGCGTCCGGCTGCAGCCAACTTTGCTCAGAGGGCAGAACGAACCTTATCGTCTGAGGCAGAAACACCGAGCCACTGAGACAGGGTAGACTAAATATCCACTCAAGGAAATCTTTATGACTGAGGCCTCAAGAGCCACACGCTTTCTCACAGATAAATCCCTGATGGTACGAAGCCAAATAACCAACCTCATTTTTCTGTGTACCTCATCGCTCGTTAGAAAAATGGTTCATAGGTATTCAAAACCAAGACGTATGAATCATGAATGAAACCAAAACTAACACAAACACTGTACTTATAGTGAAAATACTGTTTCTTTCAAAAAACACGAAGCTCTTCTGTGTGTGTGTGTGTGTGAGGAACTTTGAACCACGCCTGCTGCTCGGCTCCGCAGATGCTGTTGTCACTCAGCTCACCTCTGTAACTTTACAAGGTTCAGCTCACACATGACTTTTTTCCATTGTGGAATATTTGATGGTAATTTTACTCACTCTGACTTCAGACACTAAAATAAAGTGGCGGAAGGTAACTGTGGAGCCCTTCACAGTTAGACTCTGTTTTGGTCTTGTTAAGTTTTACATCTTCAGAAAATAGCCTCAGGACTGGGTGCACCAGACAGAGCAGGGAAGTGGTGAAGTGTTTTTAAAAACAGACTAACTAACTCACACTGTTGGTTTTGGTCTTTTCAAGGGATTTGTTATCCCACAACAAAAAGTAGAACACAAACAGCTCTGGACCCAACTGGCATCAAATAAGTGTAGACTGCAGGTCGACCTCAAGCCAAGGTTAGATAGCACACGCTGCAACAGTTCCTGGACTCGCTGTATGATATTCTCCTGCGCTTCTCCCCTTCATTTCCTGTCGGCCTTAAATGTCTGTGTTGAATAAGTGCAAAATACCCCCCCCCTAGTTTCTGCTGAATCCTGTAAATGAACAAACAAACAAACAAACAAAACACCCTTAACAGAGTTAATTATCAGTGATCAGCTCTCTGGGTTTGGTCGTATCGTGAGTATTTAAGTGTATACTGTATATATTCTGTATATATACTGTATAAGCAGCAGAGCAGCTGGTGGATCCTGGCTGTCATCGGACAATTAATGAGGCGGGGGGGGGGGAATCTAACTTCACACACACACGATGATAAACGAATGTGAGGCTGAGGAGACGCTAAGGATGCTGTACAATAATCTAAATATGTGAGTGGAAAGTCAACACAATGTCTTTCATACAAATGTATTTGGACGTTTGCTCCATTGCGATGATTTATATACATCTTGTAGGGATTTGTTCTTCGTGACGTTAATGTAATCCTAACCCAACCTTTTATTTTTGTTATTCATATGCAACAGGAATCCAGACATTCGTCTTTGTCCACTTGATCCACCTCCTACATTCTGAGAAAATGCCTTATCTCAGATTTCTATATCTGGTGCTTAGCCCCTCGACACCCTTTTCCTTTTGGCAGCCAAATGTAAACAAGGAGAGGCCGTCACCCCCCCCCCCATCAGATGACTTCATATTATTTCCTCTATTCACTGCGGCCAAATACACCATTAGAGGAGTAAACCCAGCACAAACTGAACACCTCCAGCTGTTGGAGCAGGTCAGCGACACCAGATAAGGCGGAGTCGTCTTCTTTCGGAGTCATCGGTCGTCCCGCTGCGCTGACTCAACTCTGCGTTTGCATTTATATTAAGTGTTTGTATAAACTGGTTTTCCATAAACCGGGTGGTGCTCGCCACAGTTCAGATAATGTCAACTCAATTGTCAGGGAGTGACAGAGCAGTATAAACCACGGTAACGTTAAAACGTTTTCCTGTGATTATCTGAACTTTCTGGGTCGTCATTGTCCTTTGCAGCAACACCCGCATCCGTCTGGCCTCTGAGAAAGTTAAAACAAACCATAAAAAAGTACGAGCGAGTTTGATTTGCCCCTGAAATCTGACGGCAGTTGATATTCCTCCAGCTCATAAAGGTTGAACAGCCTGTTGAATGGCTGTTTGGAGACAAACTCCTCAGGGATAGACCGTCATTGAGTCCCGTGATCTCACTTGTCGACCTTTACCGCTCCTCCGTATCCTCACATCCTGTTCCCCCAAATATGAAGCATTTACTGGATCCTTCCTCGGCGTACAGTTTCTGCGATGATAGTTATGAGGTGGTGAAAAGTTGACGCTGCACATCACCAATCTCTGTGGAAAAGGGCAACGTGCATTAGGCCCCGGAGACAGAGGAGAGGGTGCGGTGCTGAGAGGTTAACGGACCAGTAAGTACAAAGGGTGTTTTATGATGTTCACATTAAGTCTGAGGAAGGACAGGTATTTTTGGTGCTCGGCTCGGGAGGAAAGTTACACTATTGTTACACAATCTTTGTCTCTTCCTCCCACGGATAAGACCGTGACTCTAACTTGGCGTTCGTCATGTGTGATTTCAAACGCAGGGTTTCCTCTGACACCTGCTGGCTCAGTTTGGGCTGGATGAAGTCAGGTGTTGCAGATGTTTTTGATTCTGGAATCACTCTGTTTTTCTTGGCGTATTTTAGGCTGAAGCTTCTATTTTTAGAACCAAATGGGGCATTAAGTGATCAATGAACTTTATCAACCTCTGTGGCACATTATTAGGTTTTACAAAAACACCAGCGGTCCTTATTTCCTCTTGTGCAAGTCTCTGGCCCTGCTCTTCATCCAGTCGTCCACTTAACCCAATCTGGCTCTTAACTTGAACAGTCGTGTGTCACTAATTAGACTGTATAATAATCTTTCTAACCCAACCAAGCTTACTTCACATATTACTTTGCTTTCATTAGGGTTTTAACAATTATTATTATTATTATTATACAGTTGATCTGTCATATCTTAATTCTCCGCACTGTGCACACCAACAGTTCAGCGCCTAATTAATCACCCAATATACCAAGAGAAAAAAACGGACATATTGAGTCGAGATGCTCAAGTCACAGACGCTGTGTCTTTGGCAGCAGAACAAAAGCAGAGTTGAATACATGGAAATCTCTCTCTGGGCTCCGGAGTGACGTTCAGGAACACTTCACCCTGAACGAGCTGTGGAAACAAAGCTCACATGAAACCTGTTTATTTTCTTTTTACCTGAATTTATGTAATAAATGAAAAAAATTATCATCATTCTTCATATTGTTGTAATATTGAATAATAAACAGCAATTTTTAGCTGCTCGTACACTGGATGAAAAAGATCTCATGTGAAAGTTGTATGTTTGTTATTACTTTGATTTGTTTTAATGATGATTTAAAAAAAAAAAAAAAAATCAATATCTGTCTGTTCAGGTTCCACGTGGGAGAAATCCATCCGACAAATTGGCTTCGAGAGGTAAGAATGTAATGAATTCAGCACATTTGCACAACTAATAATGTATTTTCATATATTTATTTTATTTTATCACTGTTCCTGCAGTCTTGGTGACATCCTTAATATTCTCCTGACGTTAATGCAGCATAAAATATGCAGGTGGATTTGGTTTAATGGAGCTATCCATCTCTCAGATGGGCTTCTTCATGAGGTGGTAGGACTCAGCTCAGTGACTGGTGCCTGACGGAATGAAGGGTCAGCTATATTATAACTTATCCAATAAAATATGATGATACCTTTAATGGTCCTTTTTAAAGTAGGTGTATTTTTCACTTAAAGTCCGCACAGAAAAGTCTAATACCAATTTTTATTTCTTCTGTCGAATATCAGACATGTAGTTACTCTCTTCTAATTCTTTTACAGGTTGATGGATGCAAAGTTTCTTAAATATATAAATATATAAGCAGGCCCACAATAACACCGAACACCTCTTTCTGCTGACAGGATTCACGAGTCTGTCCTTGAGTGGATTCTTGATGAACACTCTCGGTTCACAGGCGTGTTCTTCAAAGCTTTTGCCGCTGCGTCTGTCTCCTCCTCCCCGTGATCGTATTAGATGCGGTTTCCTGAGTACGGGAATGTCAGAACTCAGCCACGTCCTTTTTTCCAGTACTCAACAGCCCTCAGTGGATGCCGGTATACTGTAAGTGGCGGAAGTCGAGCTGTAAACATTTCATCACCGCAGCATTTACCTGTTTGTATTGAGGAGCATCACAGTGTATACAATATTTACAGCTGGAGTTGCTGCATAGGCGGATGCTCTTCCCCCTTTTACTGCCTGCATGGAGGAAAATGAGGAAATCAAGCTCGATCTTTTCAAATCCTTAATAAACAGCTAATATTTAAATTATACATCGGACATATTTGTTTCATCCGTAGTTAGTTTGCGGCGACGACAGATCTCTCTGCGTGCAGTGTTATTGTAATTCTCTCACATGATAAGCAGAGGAAAGTAGGAGTCACTGAAGCAGCTGTGGCTCAACCTTGTCTGGCTCTGATGGTTTCCACCTCTTTCATCCATGTGAGGATGCACAACAATAAAGCTCATGGAAACAGGCGTCCTTGATTAGATTAAACTGCAGCGGCGGCCCGAGGTCCAACTATTTATCTGAGTGTGCGTTTTCCACCGTCTCGATTAGCACTTTGTTTTCGACTTGTTAAATTTTACAGGCTTCATCTCCACTCAAGGCCACAGTGAGATGGGCTCTGTTTAAAGTGACCAGTTGTTGTATATCTTGCCACAAACATTCACTCAGCTGCTTCTCCGCAGCCGGCACCGCGGAATCATCAGTACATTTCGTTTATCGTAAACGGTTTAATTACACTTTGAGCTCCGCGTGAAACGTAAAGAAAACACTTCAGCGTCCGAACACAGGATGCACCGTGATTGCTGCGTAAAATGAAACAGAAATTTGTCCGGATGATAAAAATTAGTTTTAGAGGTTTTGAAGCCTGGTTGCTATTTTAGGGACCATTTTGATTCGCTTTAACTGTACATGCAATCATGACACCTCGTTAAAACACGTCCTCCGGTAGCACAAATGAATCACACTGGATCTCTGGAAGCCTGACGTTACCGCAGCTGTCGAGGCAACAGTCGGCCGCCACTGTTTTGCTTCCTGTTTAAACAAAACCTTGTGGTATTTAGTCAGAGGTGAGCAGACAATTGTATAACAAAACAAAAGCTTTGTTTTTCCACAGAGCAAGACTTCATGTGTTTGAGCAGACTGGGACAAATACGAACAATTGTTATCCAACAAAAATCTACTGTTTATTATTGTGATTATTATTATAAATTGGTTAAAATCTGAAATTGTTTTAAAAACAGGGCGGATTGTTTACGCTGCTTTATTCCGATTGTCAAGGCACTGAACATGTTTCTCCCTCTTTCATGACCTTTTTGTTTGAATGGAATTTTTCTCACTTGTTAATAGCAATACATTGAAAATCTGCGAGCCGTCATTAAAGTGGGTGGTGTTCCACATAAAAAGCACAAAACATATTAAAAAGAACAGCTGAGTAACGGAAAAGATTCAGATTCCCATGCATTCGTGTGAAGACGTAGAGTTTTCTGAGGGATGTAATTGCTGCAGTAATATCTGTTCTCATGTTGGTTGAGTGCAGCTGCGGTCTTTGTGCGTCAGGGGGAGAAGAAGTGACAATTTCACTGAATCGAGATTAAGACGAGCAGAGGGAGGTGACGTGTGACAAATAGCCAAAGCCAGATTCAACTACAGTGTCAAAGTGAACTAACCCAACAACCACAAATCCCTGAACTTCTCAGAAAAACAGTTTCACGTTAGCTTTGATCGTCCATGACTGGATCAGTTTACTGTCCTCTCTCCCATTTTCCGTCATTTGGTCATGATCCTGGCCTGTGACATTCCTCCAAATCTTTTTTGGGAGATACTAGGAATCAGCTCTCTGTTTGTCCCCCAGCGTGATTGGTGCAGATGCGGGGAACGGCATCCGAGTGTTCATCCCTGACATCGGCATGTTTGTGGTCGGCTTGGCCATCTGGCTGCTGTGCCGCAGTCTGGTCCAGAAGAGGCCGCCTGAGGACATGGCTCAGTACAACGCTGACTTTGAAGCAGAGGAACAAGTGGGTTTCATTTATGCATGACATGCAGCGCCTGACTTCTGAATTCAATCTGTCTATCTACGTGACTGTCTGTCTTTTTCATTTTACCAACAGTCCAAAACTCAAACGTAATCATTGTACAATCACGAAACAGTGGAGAGAAGTAAATTATCTTTTAATTAACAATGTGGTTCTCAAAGTAGCTGCAATAGTTTATCTTAGGAAAAGACTTCCTCTTATCAGTGTTTCATTTTAAAAGTTTTATTCAGTTTGCCTGCATGAAAAGTATGTGATATTTAATTTATCTACATTTTGTACATATTATCTGTGATTCTGTGAAAACAAAATAACTCCAACAAACATGAAACATCATTCTAATACCTCAGTGACCCGAGGTATCCATGAAATACTTTTTAAACAAAGGGAGAGTTGGTTTGGCTCATTCCATAGAAATACCATTATGAGAGGTTGCCATGGTTTAATAAAGTTTGGAAACTGCTGGACTAATCTATCAATCCATCGACTAATTGATCCAGGAGTTCATTCGAAGACAAGAGTAATGAATTATGGTAGATTCACACAGTTTTTTGGGTTTAAACTTGAAATAAAACTGTGTCGATTCATATTCTAATAAATATGAACATAGTAACATCTTCACACAAACAGATTTTAGATTTCTGGACAATGCGAAGGACTATGTCTTTGTCAGAGTAGAAGCTCGTCAACATTTCCAATGACACTTCATATCTCAGAGCAGTAATAGTTTAATTCTGCCTTCACATTTTGTGCAGTCACACAGAAAAGCTCCGCATTTACTGCTCTTTTCTGCTTTATGAATATTTTTACTCGCTGAAGCGTCCTGCAGAGCGGACGGTCTCTTGTCCTGCTCAATACATTTACTGTCCACACTCGGCTTAATGAGCCCAGAGGAGCAGAGCAGAGGTTTGAATAGAGAGATCCCTGCGGGTGTTGATGACTTGGAACATAGCACCCCTTCCTCTGGCAAGTCTTTGCTTCTCTTTATGACTCTGTGTTAATTAAAGCCACATTCCCTTTCACTTCTGCTGTGCTGCTCACGCTGGCACAGATGGCTTTGTTCTGCATTACTGAGAAACAGTAGAAAATTCATGTGGAGACCCTGTGTTGGGTTCAGGCTCTTATTTCTGTCAGTTCTGCTTCTGAGCTGAAAATTATTTTTGATTCGAAACAGGACTTCTTCCACCTGCTACTTCATCTAGTGCCTTATGCGTTATTTAGAAATCATGGTGAACGGGATATCGTTGGTCAGCAACGACAACGAACTGTATTGGATATCAACCAACATGTGAAAGGGAGGCTAATGCCTGGAGCCACAGACTGTATACGTTTAATTACACTGAAAGCCACGGCCGCACGGACCCACAGGATGGATGTGCACACTGAAATTAACAATATTTATTCATAGAGCAGTTTTAGAAAATTCAAATGACAAAAGGTAGAAATTAAAACAAATAAGTCATTAACTCATCAAAATGAATAATAGTTATAAAAAAAGTTTGTCAAAGTTTAAAAAAAAAATCATACTCGCACACTTGGATTATTGTGGTGGTGCTACCTGTTTTCAGCACCATGGAGAGCTCTCACCTTCATTCATCTGTCTGTCACTCACAATCTACCCCCCCCCCCCACCTCACCCCACACACACACAAAAAAAAGGAAGAGGAGGAGAAGCTGAGCCTGGACGACAACATCCTGCTCGAGGAGGACTTCGAAGCGGGGTACGAGGCCGAGGAGGACGAGGAGCTTGAGGATGAGGAAGAAGAGGAGGAAGAGGAGGAGGAGGTGGAGGAAGAGAAGGAGAGTACAAAGATGAAGGTCCTGCGAATCGTGGCGGAGGTTGCGTCCAAAGTGAAGGAGATCATCGGGAACTTGATCACCACCGCGGGGAAGGTGGTGGTCACCATCTTGTTGGGATTGACGGGTGAGACGTTCTGATCGAATCTGAAGTGTCTTCTTTATATTGTTTGATCGTTGCCGATTCAGAACCAGAACTTCGAATCCTTACTTACTTGAATTGTAATTTTTATTTTTGTTTTTCCTGCTCTCTTGTTCTGTTAATCTTTTTTTTTTTTTACAAAAGTGGTTGTTGGCAGATAAAGAACAAAACTGGATCAAAACAAAACAGTTTAGAGAATTCTGGGATAAACTTGGCTGATAAACATATTATATTATAATTAACCCTTAATTGAACCTCTGACGTTGGATCCACTGTCTGTGTGTTTGCAGGCGTCATGCTGCCCTCCATGACCTCTGCTGTGTACTTCTTCATCTTCCTGTTCCTGTGCACCTGGTGGTCCCTGTGCCGCACCTTCGACACGCTCATCTTCAGCTGCATGTGCGTCCTGATGGCCATCTTCAGCGGCGGACACATCATCGTCCTCTACCTCTACCAGTTCCAGTTCTTCCAGGAGTCCATCCCACCAGGCGACGGCTACATCAGGTCAGTCACATGTGGAGCCCCGTCACTCAATCTATCCTGTTTAAATCAGCTGGTTTTATTATTCAGAACTAAAAATATGAGAGGCTGTAAATTAAACTAAAGACTAAACTTTGTTGGCACTGCTCTTCCCATAGACAGAGATAAATCAACGGTTAAACAAAATTCAGTCTTCAAATAACAGTGAGCCAAAGATTAATTCAGTTCGTCTGTCACTCTAATGGATATTGGAAAGAGTTTTTCTTTTGTTAAACAACACAAGTTTATACTCTTACCACGTAATAATGTGACAGTACATATATGACGTGACAACAGTGATTGAGCTCTTTTGACTCAGAAATATTTATTGGGCCCAAAGCAAGTTGTTTACACGTTAATAAATATTTACAGTTGTAACAAGCAAGAAGGCAAAAAAAAAAAAGAAAAGAGTTGAACCCGGCTGGAGTGGAGATCTTTCAAACATCGATATCAGAGGCTGAGCTTTTAGTCTCTTCACTACAACCAGTGTTGTTTTATTATGCATGAGAGAGGAGACAATCAGCTGTCTGTGGCCGCAGCGGTGAGACTCTGTGGTTGGAGTGAAGCCACACGGTTGCACATCTTGCCAACGTGCGCTGGTCCCGGCTGTAATGAATGCAGACTCAGTAGAGGGGAGCGTACTCAGGTCACTACGCTCATTGTGTTTGATTGACGGGCTGGAATGCAGAGAATGCTGTTTATTTACCAATACAAACAAACACTAATCAAGGTTTCCTCCATGTTGGACGAAAGAAGGTAGTTCTGCTTCAACACGTTAACTGTTTTACTGAGGTCTAATTAATTAAAATGTTAATTACCCATGAATATATTAACCATGATTTTACAACAACAATAAAGGAATGCACTGAAGGTTTGCTTTTGATTTCTATGGATATTTCAGCTCAGATGCTGAATAACAATAATAAGAAGTAAATAATTAACACGAACAAATGGGACCAACAGTTAAATTCACTCACATGTGATCGTCTCGGTCGCAGATAAAACACACGCCGGAGCTCGAAAGCCGAATAACAAGCAGAAGATAACACACAACTTCAGAACTGTGTTTCCATTTAACAGTTTGAGTTTTTATTACTGTAGCTCTGGTGTCTGTGCCCTTGGTGTTGGAGGCATTTATTGATCTCGTGGTTTCTCATTTGAAAGCCGTGCTGCTGTGTGTCAGGGCCGAGGCTATTTACAGCTATGTATAGCCGGAGCTGCCTTGGACAAACCTTGCGAGCTCCCATTCCTCTCCTGCCTTCCGAGGACAGATGAGGTGTGATTACAGCGCCGCATTGACAGGTTTCTCGTTAGAACACAACCTCATTAGAATGAATGGACTCCTCAACACCATCTCACGCTGGCAGTAATTGTGTGCACGCTGTAATGACCACACAGTAACACCAACGTCTAAATCAGCTTCCCTAAGTAAGATCCAAGATAACCTCACAGAAGATTTTTTTTTTCTGGTGAAATACTGGAACACTTTCACCTGTTTGGGCCTTTTAAAAAACCATCTGAAGTAGATGTTGTAGGAGCAAAGTCAAAGAAATACCATTTACCTTTCTGTAAAATCTGAAAACTTAGTGAGATATTAGATGCTATCTTCTTTTTGGGTGTCGAAAAAACCTTTAAACTTACTAAAAAAAGTTATTGATACTATAACGTTTTTAAATTTAAAATTAGAAAACAGATTTTACTGATACAAAGCTGAATTTTCACCATGAATGACTCTTTAGTTCCATCTCTTTATTTTCCTTCTCAAGTTTCCTGCTGTGAATATTGGAGAGTGGGAGTAATTTTGGAAAAACCTCTTCATTTGTGTGTTTGAAGGCCTAAATTTGGAAATTCACCGCAGCCCTGATTCCTATTTGATGGGTCTTAACACAAACAGACCGACTATTTCATCATCCGCCGACTCCTTGTGCGTTAGTGTTGACTTTCCACAGCGCTGTGGTATTTCTGTCTGCCGCTGTGTGAAGAAACTGAGGCCCAATGTGACGATAAAAGCAACTCGTCCTCCTCTGCTGCTGCTGTTTCCTCTCACAGGGAAACTCTCATGGTTGTAATATGTAAAGTGCGCCCATCGGACAATACGCCACCTCGGTGCCTGCCCTGATCCTGCTTGTTGACAGTGACCTTGCCGCGGGGCCGGTGCTGAGTGACGCCGATGAGAGGCCTGGCTTCCACTCCGCTTCCTGCCTCTCCGCCTTACAATGGAAGTCCCCAGTCATGTGACCGACGGGCCTTCCCCAGCTGTAAGGAGAAACCGCTCAGGAAGTGTGGTGGGGTCAGAGGCGGCCGCTCGCTCCTCCACATGGTGTAAAAGTAAAGACCCGGGAGGCTTCTAAATCTCCGAGTGTGTCACTGGAAGACGTCAGCGTAGTTCCTGTTGAGCAGATGACCTTTGTTCTGCTCAGAGGAAAAGCTCTGAATCAAACGATATCCTCCGTGGTACAAACAGATATTTAGCATTTCCCAGATTCCAAGGTGGAGATTTCATGTGGAGTTTCAATTAGCACCATCAGACTGTTACTGTAATAATAATGTACTTGTACCAATATATAATAATATATTTATGCCCTTAAGTCCAGTTGTCAAAAATACTAAAATACTAAAGAGAAGGGAAAGTAAAAAATATTCAGTTATTATTGGATGATTTCCGGGGAAAGAATGAAACCGTCTACAACGACAAGTCAAACATCAGTAAAAATTTAACGTGGTTGAATCAGGAAATTCATTATTTTCTGTGATACCTGTTCATCTTTTCCTTTCATGATCTCTTTGGGTTAAACCAAAACATATCAATTTCACAATTACAATTATCATCATTATTTTCATTCCTCTTTTTCTTCAATATTTCCTCTTGACCTTTTCCTGTTTCTCCGGCCGCTCAGGAGTTCACGACCTCCTCCATGTTAACATCGCCTCCTCAATCCTGGCTTTGTTTCTGGAATGGAAAATTAGTCAGAAAGAAAAGAACCGAAGGACTCCTCCTCTGAAAGTAACGACTTGAACAGAACACTTATCCTGATGAGAAAAGCTGAATCAGCTGATTGATGAGTCGGGACCAGTTTAAATAAGATTTAAGATCAAAACCTTCAATATTCTGAACTGAATCGAAAGTAATGAATCAACCAGATCACTTATCTCAATGAGAACAGTTGAATCTACTGGTCGATGACTTTTATGTGATTGTGTTTCCTTCGTCTTCATTCTTCTCAATGAAAGAGGAGCCAAGTCCCCTTCAACAAAGAATTGATTCGTTTTTTTCATGAATAAAGTCTAAGGAGAGTTTTTTTTATTTAAAATAGTGAGTAAAACTGTGAGAGATAAACTGGGCTGCAACTATTATCATTATTTTCATCGCCAGTTAATCTGCCAATTATTTTAAATCCTTGATCATACAATTGTTCCGCATACAACACAAGAATATGTTCATCATGTGTAATTTCCTAAAGCTCAGTGTAACCTCTTCAAACAGAGACACAGTCTTTGAGTGGAATAAAGTATAATCTAATTCATAAATCAAGCTCTTATGTCCGTTGATTTGACATCTGCGTTCGTTCCTATATCCAGTGTTGTGTTAATTCGTACCCAAAGAGTTTGTCTCTATCCTCACACACGTGTCCGCTTGTCTCTGCAGTACATTTGGCATCTCCCCCATCATCCAGAGCAACTGCTCCTACACATGGAAGCTCATCGTGCACCCGGAGCGTAAGTGGTACCACTTTGTGAATCCCATCATGCTGCTGATTCTCTACTACACGCTGGCCACGCTCATCCGCCTCTGGCTGCAGGAGCCCATCGAGCAGCTGACGGTGAGAAACGCACACCGACGTGCACATTGTGTCATTTACCGTTAAATGTGTCTGTAATCTGAAATGTATGGCTCATTATGTTGTGTGAGTTTGATTTACAAGCAATCACATCTGAAAAATGTTTTAAAGGCACCAGCGTCAGTGCCCTCATGACAAAAAGGACAGAGACTGGTGTAAAAGTCTTAAATCTGATTTACAGATGTTTTTGTAGCAGGCTCTCAGGATGTTTTACTCCTGTGTTAACTTAAACTGGGATTGTTGTGATCATGGATTGTGGTGTAGGACGCCGATCAATCATTTTTACTGGAGTTTCAGACAGAAGCATTAGACCTACAGCAAACACTGACTCTCATGTAAACTGAAGCAGCTCGAAAGATCCTCTCTTTAGAACAGTCATGTGTTGATTACAGTACAATATTAATGAACTAATGAATTTAAGTATTATTAAATAAGATCCGCTCCTCTTGTCAAATATGTGTTTAAACGTTAAACGTCAATCCGCTCCTGCTTTGAGAAGCCTCACGTTTGGGACCAGTTGCCGTCAGCGGGGGTCAAAGATTGAATTTGGGTCACGACACCTCCATAAACACCCAGAAGTAAATTCCAGACAGTGAACTGAAATAGATTCAGATTGAATTAAACGTGCATCCATGTGGCCTCGAGCTCAGAGGAACCGTATCGATGAAAGATTCCAGAAGGATCTATTGCTGGCTGTTCGCTGCACGGAGCTCAGGTGTCGTCTGAGAAAGTGTTCGACTAGTTTCACAAAACACGAAGGAAAGATGCTGGATGTTGGATCTGTTTTCCAACGATACAGGTTAGATTGTTGAATTAATGAATTCATATGTAAATACATTTTATTTTTTAATGTCGTGAGGATTCATTAATTCAACTCCGTTCACTTCTACAATCTCCAAGACAAATACAGCCAAACCAAAAGTAGCTGCACGACTAGAAATCAGAATGAGAGAATGTTTAAGAGAAGATGTTGCTGCCATTGTGACGATTACTAGACTTTAATGCTCCTGAATTCTGCCTTTCCTCCTCACCTCAGACCTCGAAGCTCAGCTCCTCTGTCCTGTAATGGAGTTATAGATTAGCGTTTTTATAGAGGGGTCAATACCTCCCTGTAAATCTGTGGGTCTCTATCGATCCCTCCATTCAGAGATGTGTGTGCGAATGTGTGTGTGTGTGTTTTCACCAACTCTTACTCTTAAGCAGATACTAATGATAAAACATAATTACAACATAAATCCGCAGCAGGTCTGTTTGTCGGTGTTAATTCAGCAAAAACGCAATAATTCAAATAGATTTAAGAATCTAAATGTGATCACTGATGGAAAACAAAGAAACTCACAGTCACACATTAACATCAGTGTCATGATCATGATTAATTGCAAAGAAGAAGTGATCAATAATGCAAATATAAAAATATATTTCTCTGGATTCATTTTACTTTCACGGTAGAGCATTATTCCTTTTTACGTTTAAAGATGCAGACACTCAAATTCCTGAAACACAGGAAGCACAGACACCAATAGACAGTAGTAATAACCATGTGGACACTGCCTCTGTTTCTTCTGAATATAATCAATGAAAGAAATGCAGGTAATTTACAGTAAAACCTAATTTCCTCTTTTTTAAATGTCACCCTACTCCTCCTCACATTCTGCACTCCTACACTGTACACCAACAGGAGACTCAGCTCACAATCCAGTCAGATATACAATCATCCAAACTGTCTATCTATGTTTTTTCAGGACGACGGGGATGTGTGCGAGGAGGACGATCTAGTTGGAAACAGAACAAGTAACTCAGCCAACAGGAAGAGGCAGCTGTGGTGGGAGTCACGCCAAGGCACTGATGAGAAAAACGTATGTTCAAAACCTGAGGGTTAATAAATACATATCATAAAGTGATCATCCTTTGGTCAACAAAACACTGACACACACAGTACAGTGTGAAAAATGATAATAATGGTAATAATACGCTTTGTCTTAACCATTTTACAAAGTGCTTTACAACGAAGAAATAATATAAGACGGGTAAAAAAAAAAATTCAGTAAATTCAGATTTTTATTTGGATCTGTTTTATCAAGATCCATGAATTGTTCTCTGATAAATTAAGGAAGGTGTTGAAAAAAAAATGCAGTTTCTACTAAGAAAGTGAAAGAAATCCTGGATCCGCACAAAAACGAATGGTTCTTTCCTTCCACCACTTTGTGTGATATTCCGTCCTGTAGTTTTTGCGTCTTGCTTACAAACATACCGGCCGACAAGCCAACAGACAGGGATGAAGACATAACCTCCTCGGCAGAAGTAACAAAGGAATATGAGCAGAAAAACAAACAGCATGGTAAATAGGATTAAATAAGAGCTTTCATAGAAGGAAACGTTTGACGAAGGGATTTTAAAGAAGCCAGAAACTTTTCTGTCTCATTTCATTGAGCAGCAGGTTCCGAGATGTCGAGGCTTTAACAGCGTGAAGCTTAAAACATGAAAACATTGCTTTAGAAGGACATGTTAGCTGTTTAACGCCTTTCAAAATATCCTGAGGATATTTTCCCTAAATATGTGAAATGTTTGATTTCCTTCAACAGCCCTGGCCGCTAAAACCCAAACACATTCCCTGTCGCATTCTTTACAATTGATAACTGATGTTAGCCACGAACCATATGACTCAGTTTCAACAATAATAGAGTGCAATGGAAAAAAGCTGTCATATTTTAACACAGAATAAAAATAACAGGGAAAGAGACTTTTTGTTAAACTGTAAACTTTAGGCCTTAGCGGTTTCCACAAGCTTTCATAATAGACTCATCCCTGGGAAGGTTCAGCTGTGATTGCACATGCACACACTGACCTTGTTCCCATATTAAAGTCTGTAGTCTGTCTCCACTGGCCACCTCCTGAGGTTTAAATGCTTTTAGGGTGTGCAGCAGACGCAGATGAGCGATGGGCTCGATTTACAGAGTAGTGCTGCTGGGCTTTGTTCCTGCTTATCAGCGACTATAAAGAACCAGGAGGCCTTTGACTTCAGCAGCTCATCGATAACGCACCTTGTCTCGTATGCTCTTTTCTCCTCCTCCTCCTCCAGCTCCTCTCCACCCAGGATGGCATCAGTACGACTGAGGTGGGGGCTGCTCTGGATGTGTCTTGATTCTGTGCATCTTATCCCCCCGGTCACCCATCAGCCCTGCAGCGAGATCAGGAATCTCTGCAAAGTGCTTTTCACACTGCACCCTCTGAGCCTGTGGTTAAAGTTTAGTGAACAACAAAGCTTTTGAGCTAACCCTGGTTTCAAGCTGCCTGGGTCTTAAATCGGCTGTTGAAGTAATTCTGAGCTGAATTTAGATGAAATGATTGTCATGCTCAAACATCAAAATAATATATTTTATCTGAAGCCGCAACTTTGAATGGATAGAATCACATTTTTTCAGAGTCCACCATTCACAATCATTCCTCTTGTTCATACTGGCGCTGAATAGATCCCTTGTTAAAGTGCAGCTAAAGCTAATATGCGGCTTCAGCAGTCGGATTTAGCCAAAATACATAGAGTTTTTATTACCAGCTTTAAAACGTTGCAGTGATTTTAGTACAAAAGTAGAGAAGCACTGAAAGTTCACACCCTCGCCAAGGCCCAGCAGTCCCTTTATGAAATCACATTTAAATCTGCTGGATCAGGGATTTTATTTGGATATGCACCAAACTGCATGATTTTTATTTTTTTTCCCATCAAGATTCATGCAAAATCCCCTGGAAAAATTGTGCAAATGTCAAACCAACCAACAAATAAACAGACCAGGGGGTGAAAACAAACCCTCGCGGTGGAGATAATTACCTTTTGTGTCATTATCCCTCGGCAGCTTCTCTGCAAGGCAGTAAAATGGCTGTAAATTTAGAAAATACCCTCTGTCCCTCTTACCACTTACAACATGTAGAGGAGGAATGATTACAGCCACTGACAGACTTGCACATATGTGACGAAGTACGTGCTGTGTGAAAAGTAGAGAACAAATTATCCCTTTACTGCCTCACGAAGACAAAGTGTAATGTTAAGAAAAAGCAGATTATCCATAATTGTACAACTTAAAATGAGTTGCTCCCTGTTTGTCCTTGTGGGACAGAATTCTGTCCAGTTGTGTGATCCCTTAAAAAAAGCACTTTTACAGTTGTTGAAGTTTTCATGATGATCTACAGGCTGTCCCCACCTCAAACGGGACGTCCTTTGAGTTTGTCACAACTGGACCGCTCTGTCTGGACTTGTACTCCACCCCCCAGTATAAAATGGACCAGCCCAACGACGGTACAGGTGAGCGTTTTACTCTTTGCTCTGTATCTCCTCGTCGACTCTGGACGAGCTTTGTTAGTTTCATTTACAGACGATTTCTCAGCGTCACTATTTTAGCAAAGGGTTGTGTTTCTGTGTCCAACCAGAGAAGAAGGATGAGTGTGTGTATGAAGTGCATTTACCCCCGGAGGAGTCGGCGTTGGACGAAGGAGAGGAGAAAACTGAGGAGGACGAGGACGGGATAAAGAAACGAGGAGTCGGTGCGATGGTCAAAGTCTTTCACTTCATCATGAAGCAGAGCTACATCTGTGCTCTCATAGCCATGATGGTGAGTGAGACTGTGACAGGGAGGAGAACGAGTACGTGAATGTTGAATAATCCAACTTTTTATTGTGATTTTGATCCAAAGTAATGAACATGTCACTGTTGCAGTTTGTATTTTTGGTTTAATCGAACCTGAAAGCAGCATAATTATAAAAATTATAAAAAGTTTAAACTCACAGAGCTGCTGGAAAAATTGAGTGAATACCAAACACTCCATATATCTTGATAAATGCTGTTCAGATGCCCCCCCCCCCTCTGGTCCTGAGCTGGATGACCAACAGGAGGGAGCTGTGGTTGTACTGGGCAGCGTCTATGACTGAATGTGTGGCAGGATCACAAAGATCATCTGTTCTCAGTTAAACATTCCTGGATGAATCATAGTTTTAAAACATTGGCAACCGTCATGACTCGGTAACACAGACTATATTTTTCGAAAAAAAAAAAAGAAGCTCTTTATATTAATGTTCAAAATTAAAATGCAGCGAATGAAAATCGAACTATGATTTGAGGTGAGTAACATTTTTACATCTCTACAAAAGCTACAAAAAAAACCCTACATGGAATGAGACCAAATCAACCCCTCAAGCATTCCACTTTAAATGTTGCCTTCTGACTCTCGAGACGAGAGACGTCCATAAATCTTTGTAGAAATCATAGAAAAAAAGGAAATGAAAGAAAAAAACCTACAGCGGAGGACACTGGGGTGATGTTTGTGTTATTCTCTCTGTGTGTGTCTGCAGTTTCAACATAAACTGTTAAACTTTAATTCAATACTTTGTTTTGTCAATTTTATTTTTTTTTCCAAAACAATTTTGTGAAGTGTTTCCTGGAACGAAGCGTATAAACTGGCACACACGCAGGTAAAACACCGAGTTATCAGTTGGAACTGAATGCGACGCTAGAACAATATTGGGACTTTTAACTTTTAACTGATGAGCTGAACGTGCAAAATGTGAGTTGTGTCCACAAACAGATTCTGTGGTTGTTCTCCTCAGGCGTGGAGCATCACGTACGTCAGCTGGTTGACGTTTGTCTTCCTCATCTGGTCTTGCATGCTGTGGATGGTGAGGGACCGGAGGCGTTACGCCATGCTGTCGTCTCCCTTCATGGTGGCCTACGGCAACTTGCTGATAGTCCTGCAGTACATTTGGAGTTTTGAGGGCATGCCAGAAATCTCAGGGTTCTTTATCAAGAAGAAAAACCCTTTCCACTCACTTTCATCCAAGGTTTGGAAACTAAATTATTTGGTTAAAGAGTTTGTTTAACATTTTGTTTGCGGATACCCGCAGAAGTTGTGCCTGTAGAGATCTCGTTACCTAACAAATGTGACTTATTTTTCATTTCACAATCAACACTGCAGCACATGTCAGTCATGAAAACAAAAGAAGTGTGGATCGAACCGTGGATTCGGAGAATAATTACGCTCCTCATGCTCTGAATTCATCTAATAAAAGAGGGCAGTCATACAGTATTCTCCTGTAGGAGGAGAACATGTTTGTAGTATTTTCTAAAATTACATTTCATACATCAGGGGGTCACCACAGACTCTCAGTGGTCTTATCCCTGCCCCCTCCCCTTCAGAAGTGCAGAGGCTTTGTATTTCAACCTGTATTTCAAAGTTTATCTTAAGTCCCAGATGAATTCAAGACATGTCTGGAAGTTTAGATAATTGAATGCAAGTGTAAAAGGACCATTCAGAATTATTGTATAAACACATACTGACTTCTCTTAAATGAAAATAATGTATTACTTCATCTGTCCTCTCCCCCCCCCCCCCGGCTCTTCATGTGTTTGGTTAAACATGTTCGTGTGTAGGTTCTGTGTCTGCTGAGCTTCTGGCTGCTGCTCAGACAAACGCTTACAGAGAGATGGGAAAAACAAAAGGAAGACAGTGCTGGACTGTCAGACGTTCATGTGGTGGATCAGGAGAAGAAAGGTAAGCTCTCTGCGCTCTCATTAGTTTTTTAATATAGTACAAATACAAGATAATATTGCTTGCAGTATCAGCTGCTTTCTACATCTGCCCTGTGAATATTTGACAAACCAATAACTATCTGAACTGAATAGGACTGAAATTATGAGAGTTGCAGGTGACGTTTGACAACATTTATAGATGATGAACAGAAAATACTGGAATGTCTTGCTGTGGTTTGGAGCTTTACTTTTTTTTGCATTCAAATCTACTTTTGCAGGTTTAACAGCAATAAGCAAAAGTTGCATTGGGTTCAAAAGAATTATAATTGGTCTCTTAATTAATTAGTATTAATGATGAGCAAAGATAACAGATCTGCTTGTGTTGGAGGTGATCTGTGTGTTTGAGAGGCACCTCAGTATAATTTCACACCAACAATAGTTAATATTGATTAATCTGCTGAATTCTTCTTGATTTGTTTGTCAGGTTTAATCTTTATAACATCTAAGAACTGAACATTCGAGTCACATTTCATAAAGCACAACATTATTCCAATAAATGTTTAGTTTTTTTTTTGAGCAACAGGTTAAGACATAAATATATAGTTTGATATAATGTGAGACAAAGTCATGCATGGAAACAAATATAACAATAATCATTTGCTGTATATCTGATATATAATATGATTTGTATTACTGTATTTTGTTATGTACAAAAACCCATCGGACAGTCGCTCAGTTTCAGTGAGTCAGTGCAATTTTCTGATTCGCTGCTGTGGTTTATAGAGGAGGAGGAGTCTGAGGACCAAGGCGAGCAGGACATCATGCAGGTCCTGGGCAACATGGTCATGGCTCTGCTGGTCAAATACTGGATCTACATCTGTGGGGGGATGTTCTTCTTAGTCAGCTTCGAGGGAACCATCGTCATGTACAAGATCATCTACATGATGATGTTCCTCTCCTGTGTGGCCCTTTACCAGGTACCCAAACACACCGGGGTCTGAGAGCATCAGTGCATCATGAACTATATGTAAACCAGCACACACACAGACCATGTATTTATATGACAGTACTGCTGTGTCAGATCCGTAAATATATATATATATATATATATATGTATAAAGTTCTTTGTTTTGCACAAATCACCACACCCAAAAAGTTTTACAACTTTTCTTTGCTTCTGAAGCTCTTTGAAACTAAATGAAGTGTAATTACTGTATTGTCACCAGTTAAAATAGGGCAGTTTGCTAAGTGTTATGGTCCCAGTTTATTCCAGATTTAGCTCATGGGTGGGATGCTGTTGAGTTTCCAAATTCAATTTCCCAAAAAACAGAAGGTGCTGACAATTTTATTAGAGTCATAAAGTTTGTGTACAGCAGGCTCATAATCCACAGTGTATTCTTGACTGTTTTATAACCTCAACCACTGTTTAAAAAAAGAAAAGAAAAGAAAGCCACCTTAAATCCAGATGTCCTCTCGCCTCTGTGTTTAATTTAATTCATTATAGCTGCAGAGGTCACATAACTCACCACCTCTGTATAACACTTACTGCAATAATTTGTATCCAGGTGCATTATGAGTACTGGCGAAGGATCCTGAAGTACTTCTGGATGTCGGTGGTGATGTACACCATGCTGGTCCTCACGCTGGTCTACACCTTCCAGTTTAAAGGCTCGGTAAATTTCTGGTCCAGCATGTTGGGCATGACCGAGCAGAGGTGAGCTCCGCTGTGCTGGTGAACGGCACGTGGTTTTATCTGCCAGCTTCTTCCCTCTGACATTCTCTGACAGAAAGACTTCAACATGAAGTTGCTCTAAATGTTTCCCTCTCCGCAGCCTGAGGGATTTGGGCCTGGAGCAGTTCACGGTGTCACAGTTGTTCACCAGGATTTTCATCCCGACCTCTTTCCTGCTGGTGTGTATCCTCCACCTGCACTACTTCCACGACCGCTTCCTCCAGCTCACTGACCTCCAGGCTGTCGTGGCCAAAGAGGAGAGCACAATCTACAGGTGAGACACTTTGTTTTCTTTGAGCTCACGTGTCACTGATAAATTAACTTCTTTGTTCTTCTGTCGATTAAAGTTTCAACAGTTCTGTTAACCTGCCATGTTAGAACCTGCTGAAAGGAAACCAGAATTTAATTTAACTGCAGTTGCCTTTCTTGTTGCTCAGCAAGATTTGTCTCTGGTGGTAAAGCTCCTGCGAAATGTGGACTTGAACCTCTGGGAAAACTTTGCATCTCCAGTGGTGACCTTCAGCTGCAGAATATATTTACATGCAAAAACTCCAGGGCTGCAACTCACAATCATTTTCATTTTTGATTGTTTCCTCAGTTAATGGATTTGTCTGTAGAATGTTCATCTCAGGCTGCATCATCTTCACATGTGTTGGTTTTTTTTCTGATCATTAGTCAAAAATCACAAGATCCATTCAGTTTCATAGTTTTATTCCACTTTATTTTTCTCAGATTCCTATAGCACCTATAGAGCTGGATGATATTTTGTGGATTCTTAAAATAAGTCTATTTCACAATTCCCCAAATCACATATAAAACCATAAAACCGATCAATGCAGTAAATTCAGCCTGATGAAATAACAAATCTAAAATTTATATCCTGCCCCTCATCAGACCAAACTCTGTATAAAATGAAAAGTTAACTTGCTCATAAATCAAACATCTTGAACATCTCAGATTTGTATATAAAATAAAACAAGGTTCTTCTCACGGATGATAAACATCCAAACCATAAATTCCTAGAAAACCAGCAATGTTAGCATGACAGATGCATTCTGGATAATCACACCCTGTTAAACCCTCATATCCGCGGCTCTCATCGTCGTGTGCTTTGTCGTGCAGCTTTGTGTTACAAGCGTTCACATTTTCACAGTCTGCGGCGTGTTTGACTTTATTGTCGTGGACTTTCCATTGTTTTTGTTGCCGCTTTTCCTCGTCTCCTCTCTGCTTCTCTGCGTGACCCGCTGCCTTCTCTCCTCTGCCACCGTTTCCTCACAGCCATGCTAAAGTCAGCGGGCGTATCTATCTGATCATGGATAGGTGGGTAATTTGCTCGCTTTTCTGTGGCATCCACTGACATCCCAGTTCACCCTGGAGCGTTAATGCTTCCTCTTTTACCCCCCCCCCCCTCTTTTGCTTGAAATGTAACATCGATGATCTTCTGAAAGTTTTTTAAATTCCTCAACATTTCGGTTCTTTCTCCAGTTTCTGATGGTTTTATTTTGCCTGTAGCCTTCTCTTCTTGTGCTCTCTGTTACATTTCTGACCTCCTCAATAAAACCCTTCTCTCCAATAGTTTCATCAACTGTCCAGATGAACAACTTCTGTCTCAAGCATGCTTCAGTCTCCAAAATCTCCTGTTTGAGTATCTTGCCAATGATCCACACCCCTTCTGTCTGCTGAACCCCTAGAAATCAACCCCTTCCCGCGGAAAAAAAAAAAAAAAAAAAAAGCTTGTCTCCCCCAAACCACAGGAGCGTGTTGGCCAGTGTTCATGCATTTTAACGTGGATATTCTTTGTCAGGGAGTTTAAGTGTCTGTGTTGGTTTCTCTCCTCACTGTTCAACCTTGACTTCTCTGTAACTTTCATTATTCTGAGCAGCATCAAGCAAAAAATCCCCACTCAACCGAGCAAGTAAGTGCGACCTCTGGGTAATGACATGCCTGCCTTGATGTGCAGCCGGTTCATGCAAGCCAAACCCTGACCTTTGACCTTGCTCCATTCCCTGAGACGAACTCAAAGGGTTAATGCCTCCCCCAGACCATTTAGCTCGGTCATAAAAACAGCATTGATTGTTTTGAAGAATGCAGAGGGAATGTGCACTGCTTCTCGATTACTATGCCTGATGAAACGCTGCTCTGATGTTCAGGTAGCGTCACAGAGCAGAACAGTTCCCATCGTACTGTTTGCATCAGAGACTTTCACCTGGAGAATGAGTGTGTGATGGCTTTCTATACTTATGAGGACATAATGCATTGAAAAAGAAATATGTGAATGACATTTCTTTTGATTCCTTTGCTGTGGAGAGGATCTAGATGTTGACCGAAGAACATCAGGTTGTTTTATTGAAATCTAGACGAACCTTCCTCACAGATTTATAAGTAGTTTAAGAGACATTTCTTGTCAGAATGATATAGACACAAGTCACATTTACACGTTTAAAAGTGGCTTTTTGTGACCTGAAGCTGACATGGACAAGAAGTAATAAAAACAAAAATTTAGAAATGTCTTATCATAATAACTGAGGAAACTCCCCCGGCTGAGGACAATTGTGCGATACGATCAAAAGCCTCACAACAGCTACTAAATTTATCTTGTGGTGAGATGTTCGCCAAGTAGGACTCACTGATTCCAAAACTTACAGCTGAAAAAACAACAACCCCAAAAGAATTAACTAGATAATACATCAATGTCCCTGGAAGTCCTCACAGGTATAGAATTACAGTTGAGCTTGTTTGAGTCTTTGTGTGTTAATACTTTCTGACATGTCTTCAGACTGGTGCACCAGGACGGTAGTCTGGCGGACCTCACCATGCTCAGCGCCAGCTCGGTGGACGCGGCGCTGCCCAGAGAGCCGGAGGAGGTGCAGGACAAGCAGGAGAAGCAGGAGGAGGAGGAGGAGAAGGAGAAGGAGAAGAAGCAGGCCCTGGTGGTGGTGATGGATGACACTGACATGAGTGGTGAGAAGCCAGGCAGCTTGCCCGACCTGCGGCAGTCCAGCACAGAGGAGAGCCACCACTGCAGTGCGGGGACGGGGCCAGAGCCGAGCACCGAGCAGAGCTCAGGTACTGAGAAATACACTTTCATGTAAAACTAGGATTAACCTCATTGAGCCGCATACGTCCGCCGAGGTCCAACAGTCCCCTTAGATTTAATCAAGCTGCACCAAATTACACAAACTCACATGTTGCTTTCAGACTGAACTCCCAAGATTCTCAGCAGCTTCACAGAAGGAGGTGTATGTGTGAACGCAAGTGAGAGCCTCCACCCGATATCTGATTCTGTCCTGTTGTTCTTTCTCCGCCCCTGTCCCATCTTCCATTACGTTTCGTGGAAATCCGTTTCTGTGTCATCCCGCAGACAAACAATAAACAAAAGAAATGAAACTGATGTTGAGGCGCTCATTTAGAAGCAGAGTCGTATTTAATCACTTCAGAATGTCGATGTGACCTTTTGTCTCACTCCTCTAACGTCCATCATAGCTTCCCACACTGCTGGTTTTACAACTGAGACTCATACGTGCTGTGGTGTAAGCACTTTCACTCATGAGTGTAGAGACATCTCCTCTCAGATCTCTGTCGGCCTGTTGCTCCTCTGTCTGCTCAGAAGACAGATGTTGCTCTCTTGAAGAAGAAGCTCCGGCCGCTGCTCCAGCATCTGCTGCCTGTTCTCTCACCAGTCGGCTGTTAATCATCTGAAGCAAAGTCGGCTTCGCTGAGATTTATCTCCACTTTTCTGCTCTGACGTAGCTCATGCGCTCACTTTCAGCGTAACGCAAACTAACACTGCACCGTTAGCATGTTTACACAGACAGGCAGACACAGGTCCTAAATTAAAATGTTGTTTATATACACAGAAAATAAAATAGGTGATAAAACGCAGCCCTGCGGGGCCTCTGGGTTTATAATGAGCTGTAGGCCATACAGTCTATATGCTCTGTCCAAACAATGAGGCCTCTATTAAAGCCTGAGATAATGTCTTTTGTAAGACACATATACACACCAGCAAACTTTGGCTGCAGGTTTTATATCCTTTGTGAGAATATAAAGCAGAATATTCAGTCTGTATTCTCAGCTAATTGAAGTAAAACAGCTTGGAATTTGGAGTTTGCTTGTTAATACAGATTTAATGTTCCATGTTTCCATCATCCTCATTTTGTTTCTATGGGAAAAAAATGCATAAACAAACCTTTAGCAGCCTCAGAAGACATGTAAAGGAATTTTGGCTTTTTCATTGACCTCAGTAATACCTGAGGTCAAATGATAAACATCAGGACCCATCAGTCAGGCTGCGTTAGCACAAACATTTTAAAAATGGTATTTGCCTGAGCCACACACTTCTGTGAAGACGCAGAATGTCATAAACACCAACTTTAATTTGAATTATAACACACGATTTGAATGTTCTCGGGTCTGATTTTCTTTTCTTGGTACAAACCTATTACAACGGATTAGTTTGTAATAATCTTTGGGCAGCAACATGCCTCCATGTCACAGAGGAATAAAATATATAAACTGGCAGTTAATTACTAAGTATTTGAATGAGCTTTATAGACAATTAAAACACAGAATATCTTCAGACTGATTCCTGAGGTGTAAAGAGAAAACCACGTTTGTTCCATCTTGATAAAAGGATGAAGGCAGAATGCCAGACGTTGGATAATAGTGTTGGAACCATCAACATTTTGCAGTAACTGTGAGGTGTAACCTGAAAACACTTTTAATTGAAACCTCTTCAGTGTCTTCACCGTGTCTGGATTTTATTTCCCCTCCTCCAGATCTGAAAAACAAGTGGCACCTGGTGGTCGACCGTCTGACTGTGCTCTTCCTCAAGTTCCTGGAGTATTTCCACAAACTGCAGCTGTTCATCTGGTGGCTGCTGGAGATCCACATCATCAAAATAGTGTCCTGCTACATCGTCCTCGTCTCTGTCAAAGAGGTAAAGAAACCCGGGATTCCTCCGGTGAAAGAACTCCCATTCGTCCTTCATGTGTCATTTCAGCTCTGCAGCAGCCTGTCATTTTTATTTGAGCATGTACAGGAGTTACGTGCTTGTTTTGTCCAGAAAATCAAATGTGTTTTTCTATCATTATAAAATGTCCAAAGTTTAAAGTTCTTAAATTAAAACTTCCCACTCACTAAAATATATATCAATGTAAACCAGGCTGGTTAGTAAAGGTTTTTAATAGATTCGGATTTTATGTGACCATCAACAAGTTATTGTCCACTGTTCAAAATTTGATGCCTTAGACATATAAAATTAAACTCTGAACCAAGAGGAAATCAAGCCAGATAATAACGTGGGGTCATGTGGACAGTTAGAGCCACTGGATGGAAATAAAAGTAGTAAAAGTTTGGAACAAATGGACTGAGTGGTTAACCCTGGATAAGCTCGTCATACTTAGTCTGTTAGATTCTTATTAAAATGTACTTTTATAGATCTGAATTTATGTAAAGTAATAATATTTTATTTATAGTTCTTGACCCTCAGTTTTATGATCATTTTTATGTATTTGAATTGCCTCACATTACTCTTTACTTTTATCACCCTCTTCTTATTCAAATAAATCTTAAAAGTATCTTTTAATTGTGCTTTTAAAAAAGTTGTGCAATGAGGAAACCGTATTTCTGCCAGTTGTAGTAAGACAATGAGAATATCAGGAACTAAGTATGAGCTGTTTTCTTTTTGTCCTCATTCTCTGTATCGTCCCCACGTGCAGGTGTCGTTGTTCAACTATGTGTTCCTGGCGTCTTGGGCCTTCGCTCTGCCGTTCAGTCAGTATCGGCCCCTCGCTTCCAGCATTTGCACCGTGTGGACATGTGTCATCATTGTGTGTAAAATGTTGTACCAGCTGAAGTCCATAGACCCCCCGAGCTACTCCAAGAACTGCTCTGTGGTAAACATATGTAGTAGATGTTTCTCATCCCGGGGTTGCATGAGCTACTGTACATATACCGAGTGCATGTACTGAATGTTGACACTTCATTATTCACGTCCACAGTCGGAGACGTACTCAAGCGACCAGAAGACTGAGCTGCAGGACTCTCTGCTGTACGTAGGTCCTGTGGATCCGGCCAACTGGGTGGGCCTGGAAAAGTCTGCGGACCTGCTGGGATACCTCAGGGTGAGAAGAAGTGGAAACACACACACAGGACATCATCACAAACAATTCACATTACCAACATGAAAACAGGAAGTGGTTTTAGTATTTTAATAAAATGATAAAACAAATTGTGTTATTAACTTTCTGGACAATATGTCAACATAATAATCAGACTGCATATTAAACTACTCTCATTTATTTTTCATCATTTTTCACGAATACCTATTGCAAATCAATATTCTATATTCCCATGCTCTATATTGATCAGTACACCCATTCTCTCTTCCCACTGTTTAACTACTTCCCTGCGCTTTACTGCTTATAATGGCTTTTTTAAAAATGTAAATGATTGTGTGTGTGTGTGTGTGAGAGAAACAAATCTTTCAATGCATATTTAGCAAAACATAAATGTCTTAACAATGAACATTAAAATGTGCTCTGTCCCCGTGCAGGACAACCTCCTGATGTTGGCTCTCTTAGCATTCGAGGTGACCATCTACCGCCATCAGGAATACTTCAGACTGAGGAACAAGCTGTCGCCTCCCGCTGCTCGGATCATCTTCCACGACACCACGCGGCAGCACCTGGACATCGGCATCATCAGCTTCATCAAATACTTCATCAACTACTTCTTCTACAAGTTTGGACTAGAGGTGCAGCGGAGAAAAGAGCTAAATATATCTATTTTATCTCAGAAACGTTCTCTCCATTCCTGCATGTGTTCACTCTTCATGTGTCGCCCACAGACGTGTCTTCTGTTGGTGGTCAATGTCATCGGTCAGCGGATGGACTTCTACGGCATGCTTCATGGCTTCGCCTTGATAGCCGTCATGTACCGACGGCGGAGGAAAGCCATCGCGGAGATCTGGCCCAAGTACTGCTGCTTCCTGGCCTGCATGCTCACCCTCCAGTACTTTGTTTGCATCGGGATCCCGCCTGCAGCCTGCAAAGGTTAGTGCTGTAAACCCAAAGCTTTTAAATCTCTAACAATGTAAAAAGCAGAGAATAAGCTAATTCTCACATTTGAGAAGCTGGACACAGCATATTTCTTGCATTTGCGCTTGTTAGATGACATAAATGAATAATGGATCGTCTTAATTGTTGTTGATTTGTCATTAATTTCTGTCAATCAGCTTCTCATTTAGATTATTATTCATATTATTGTATGATCAACAACTTTAACTACTTATTTAGGCATCACAGTGAGCTGCAGTAGTGGTGCAGCAAATCAAAATGTGTATCTGTGTTAAATATCTTGGTCCAGAGACGAACTGAGGCCTTGATTTGTTTTACATAATTACAAAAGTACATTGTTTGGTGGAACAGGACAAATCACATGTAGGTGTCCCTCGTCCTTCATGATGTACTGTCTCTTTTTTTATTTGTTGCCACGTCAAGGCTTTCATTGCCAGTCCTCTCCTTTTAAAATGCTCCATAAATAAACCTGACGTTTTCATGTGGTTTATACGTGATGATAATGGTGTGTGTTTTCATTTTAGATTACCCCTGGAGGTTTCCCAGCTCTTTTACACACTCCAATGTGGTCAAGTGGCTCTACATCCCAGATTTCCGCGCAAAGCCCAATCCATCGTTCCTCATCTGTAGGTTTCTCAAACAGGAGATTCATTTTAAGTAGAAGTATTCAAAAGTAAAAATATCACATCACATATTATTGTTTTAGTTTTGTTCACAGGTAAAAAAAAAAACCAACAACATATTTATTGTTACACTACGTTGCTGTTTTGGGATGAATTGAATAAAATGTCATGATTGAATGAAGTGCTGTCTCTCTTTTTTTCTAGATGACTTCATGTTGCTGCTGTGTGCCTCTCTTCAGAGGCAGGTGTTCGATGATGAGAACAAGGCGGCCGTCCGCATCATGGCAGGAGACAACGTGGAGATCTGCAGAGACCTGGACGCAGCCTCGTTCAGCGTCCACAACCCCGTCCCTGACTTTATCCACTGCAGGTAACAATGCACATGGAGCTACTGAAGTTTGACCAGAGCAACATTAGCACAAATGCAGAGGAAGTAAACCGCTTAAATTATTCTTAATGGTGGTAGATTTCTACAATATACTAAAACATATAATAAAAAAATGGTGGAGCTATTAAAAACCTTTTAGAAAATATGTAGACAAATAAAACATTTGACAAGAGCAACTTAATCCAACAGAGTGTCAAATATCAAAAGTTAAATACATTATTTAAAAAAAGCATATTGTCTTTGGTTATTTTCTTTGTTTGTGGATCTGAAGAAATCAGCAAACATACTTGTTGGGTAACGATCATGAGAAAACCTCAGAGTGAGACGCTTTCGATGTCTCTCCAGTCGAGCTGCTTAGTAGAAAACTGTTGTTGAACTTGGCTTCAACCTGTGAAACTGCAGAAATCCTAAGTGGGGTGGTGCTGAACAAGAACTCACTCACTCAGCAAATCCCTTATCCTGGGTAAATATTAAAATAAGACAGATGACAGTCGCTCAGTGAGAGATGTTACTGAATACCCACCGCATGCATAATTGAGAGTGGTGGCTTTGGTCCAGTTTTTGAATCCAGAGCTCGATCCTGACTTTGCACAATAAAAAAAAAACAAAAAAAAAAATACGAGTGAGCGGAGGGAGGGTTTTTGAGAGGCAGCGAGTTAGAGAGACAGCGAGAGCATCCTGACCTGTCCACAGTCATTGATTATGTGCTCTTCACATTCCACTGTTTTGATGCGCAAAGTGGACAAGTCTTTTATTAACGCACTCTGTGTCCATCAACAAGCCCTCGTAGAGAGAAAGAGAGCAGCGCAGCCCGTCTGTCCACGCCACGGCAGCGCTGCACTTATTCCATCGTTTCCCTCCAGGATCGAATTACGGATACGGGGTGGGGGAGAAATCCATAATCCACAAAAACACTCTGTCCGTCACTCCGCGACTCAGACGCTTTTGCCCTGTACTCTAACTCAATAAATAGCTTTTATGTATGGAAAAGGTATTTTCTCCCCCTGATGAAGAAGGACACTCACTCAGCTATTCCGGCCCATCAACGCATCGTCCGATCCAAACCCACTTCATCAGGGCCGCTTCGTAAACACTGCAGCTGTTGTTGTGGTCCCAATGTTTTCCCCAGGTCCATCAAATTAATGCACATTGCTTCCTATGTCTCCGCTGTGAACATCACATTAACGCTCTCTCACATGATAAACACAGGATCCGTCCGTGTGTTTTTAGCATGTCAGACACACACGGGACACGCAGCATAGTGCACATGTTCTGAGTGACAGGAGTCAGGTTTCAGCTCTGGTTCCCATTCATTGATTAGACTCTTACCGGTGCCCTGACGCTAAGTGAAACACTAAGTGTGATTGATGGGCAGATTACATGAGCAGCAACAAAATTAACTTTTGACTTTTGCTATGTGGTGAACATGGGTCCTCATTAGCAACTAGGCTCAACTGGCACCGGCCCACGCAGTGTCCTCACAGTGTCGTCTCTGGGACGAGCTCAGATCTGCCAATTTTTATCCTCTACCGATAAATTGGTCGGGCTCTATCACGGAGCTTTGGTCATGTGCTTAACGTGATCGTTATCGTTTGATTGAGACCACGAGACAGCAGTTTCAGTAGTTCTCTTCAAGCACGTTCAATATTATACATTTACTTTTCATTGAAACTGCTTTTGATCACTCGTCTGGGAAGCTGATTTCTTTCTTTGGTGCAAATTAAACAGTATCACTAAGAAAGTCAGTGCAAAAGGAGCTTCTATCTGTTTATATCTGTTAAAGGTGTAAGACTCTGCTCATCAGGTTTAATGACAAGAACATTTTCTGTGCTTTATACTCACATTATGTCCAGTTCAATTACCTGAATCCCAAGGTTGTCTAACAGTGCTTTTAAAAAATGACAGCATATAAAGAATTTTACATTCTTAATGGTACCAACTAGTCATTTCAATTCACGATCGTCTTTCCTTGCCTCCGTCCCGCAGGTCCTACCTCGACATGCTGAAGGTCATCATGTTCAGTTACCTGTTTTGGTTTGTCCTCACCATCATCTTCATCACGGGAACCACACGTATCAGCGTCTTCTGTATGGGATACCTGGTCGCCTGCTTCTACTTCCTGCTCTTCGGTGGAGACCTGTTACTGAAGCCAATCAAAAAGATCCTGCACTACTGGGACTTTCTCATCGCCTACAACATCTTTGTGATCACCATGAAAAATGTTTTGTCCGTGAGTTGAAGAAGAAATAATCAGCGATAAACTAACCTACTTTTTATTTGATATAATATATAAAATGAAATATTTTATTAAAGGTTATATTTTTTGCTGTGTCCATAGATTCTGGCTTGTGGCTACTTCAACACTCTGGTGAAGAAGCAGTGCTGGTTAGTCCAGTTGCTGAGTTTGGTCTGCACCATTAAAGAATATGACAACAACATCGACCAGGAACATCTGCGTAAGTCAACATTTAACATCTTGTATTGTAGAACTTGTTGGGAAATACTTATTTATTTAAGTTGGAAAGGTTTTGGCACAACAGGAGACGTTCCTGTGATTTTTGCAACAGATTGTGTTTTCAGAAGCATTTCTTGAAAGTGGACGTTAAACCTTAAACCCTTGTTCTATTAATTAACTTATCAAATTAATGAATCAGTGCTGCGTTCATCTTAATCCCACACACATGTAGATTAGAAAAAAAAGACAAAATGTACTGAAGAACTTAGATTTATGCATAATCAAACACAGAATTCTGTCTACGTCAACATTTTCAGACTCATAAATGTCTTTTATGTGTCAAAGCTCATTTAAATCATCATTATCACAGTTTTCACATGTTTTTTAGTTGCAGGACTTTAAACCTCTAACTGTCCTTCGTCAGGATGGGGATCAACAAACGCTGGACTCAGGCTCATCTTTGTCTCCTTATGTATTGATCCTGTATTGTATTGTGGAGTGTGTTTTGTCCCTGTCATCTGCCGGTTGTTTTAGTTTTAATGATGTATTTATGATGGTTTGTCTGCAGCCCAGTTTCCCCCAGATTGGATAATAAATTTGACTTGATTTGTTGTGCCTGCTAAAGATGCTAACCCATTGCAGATTATTGGTGTTGGCCCTGCTAATGATGAAGTTACAGTGGTGTGAACAGTCATTAGTTTCATACTAAATGAAATCAGTGTACGTCTGTTCCAGCCCCTGATCAGCGCTGCGAGCTGCCCAATAACGAGGCCGGGATCATCTGGGACAGTATCTGCTTCGCCTTCCTGCTGCTGCAGAGACGAGTCTTCATGAGCTACTACTTCCTGCACGTGGTCGCTGACATCAGGGCGTCGCAGATCCTCGCATCCAGGTACAAGGCTCATTGAAGGTCATTAAAAAAGATCAAACCTACACGTGCAGCGTCCGATTAGTAACTGATGTGTGTGTCTGTGGGATTCAGAGGAGCTGAGCTTTTCCAGGCCACCATAGTGAAGGCGGTGAGAGCCCGACTGGAGGAGGAGCGCAAATCTGTGGAGCAGCTGAAAAGACAGTGAGAATGTTTAACTTCATCTTTTAGAAAGTTTCTGTGTTCAATATAAAGCTAATACTTTGTTTTGACATTTAAATGTGAAGTTGTTGCACAAGACTTCAGTTTACTGTCTACAAGTTAAAACATTTACACGCACATATTTTCAAATAGTTTAATCTCCCTGATCTTAATTAGATCAGAGTTAAAGTAGCAGGATTTTGAAAAGCAACTATAGGGTTAGTGTTTAAAAGTTAAGTCTAACAACTTAGAATATTAGTCTTATTTGTGATTCAAACAGGAGCACTTAGTGCAACTATTGTGACTATTGATGCACATTTTATAATCTTGTGAGTATTTACAACAACGGGAAGGTGCATGAAGATAAAGTACAGTCATTAAGTTTAGTTATTAGTAAACATGACTAAGAAATCTATTTGAAACTTAGATTAAAAGCAGCTCCTGCCTCAGTCGTTATTGTTTCCTGGAAGCCTGCTCTCAGTATATCATACTACACAAAGTCAATGTATTTCCACCACTTACAGGTTCCTCAGGAGTTACTCATGAGCTCTGATAATACCCACTCACTCGCTCTAATGAGCACTCCACCGTTACATAACATACGCTGATTTCCATATGACGCCTGGAGATGTTCATGCTCAGTCTGTTAGGCCGCCGCTGATGTTCCCCTGTGTCGATACTTGGTGTCTCTTCACCGTCTCTCTGATCTAATCAGGATGGAGCGCATTAAAGTGAGGCAGCAAAAGTTTAAGAGGGGCAAGGAGAAGATGCTTAGCATGGCGCAGGAGTCTGGAGACGGACAGACGCTCGTGCAGCCCGAGGACGATGACGACGGTATGACGAAGCCTGCCAGGGCCTCTTACTGTGCAGCACATATGAGAAAAAAGTTTACGTAGGGTGAAAATGATGCCTAGTAGAGGTCAGGTAAGGTGGCCGAGAGTGTGTTAATGCTAACTATCATCAGAATGCAGCCATGTTGTGTAGTAATGACTATTTCATAAGCATTTGAACAAAAAGAGCAGCTTCATTGAACAGACTTAAGTTTGTAGAAAAACTGATTTTCTTATTAAAATGTTGCACTCATGTATTTGTGAAATTTTAGGGGCACATCGAACGAAAGCCAAGACCAAAAAAAAGCAGTGGTGGAGGCCGTGGGTTGACCATGCTTCCAGTAGGTTGACCAACCAACCCTCTTTATTCTCTTCCTCCACTCTGATTGGCCCTTGTGTCCTTGACCAGAACGCTGAGGATTCCCATACTGCCCCTGGGCTCTGAAGGCACCAACATACAGTCGCATTTTACGCCAACCAGACTTTAGTCGTTTTCTGTGTCTATTCAAAAGCCCCTGTTACCTGTGTGTCTGTGTGTGTGTGTGTCTGTGTGTGTGTGTGTCTGTGTGTGTCATTATCAGTGCAGGGCAGGGTTTTCCTTAAATAGGCACAATGATATGATGAAATGAAATAGAAAATGACTAACGTTTGTATTTGACGTTGTTTAATTTAAAGAGAAAAAAAATCCTCTGTATCGCCTTAAGAGCCCACAGTAGAGAATCACTATGTTGTGAAACATTTTCACGCAAAGATATGAAGTCGACTCGCCTTTATTCTCAGTACTGGAATAAAGGATGAAGGGTTTGTTCATTCTTTGCCTGCAGACATGATCACCAAACAGGTTTTGCCCCGAAGAAAAATCCAACCCGATCCGACCAGCGATCAAACACACAAAAATGACGTGTTGCGGTGAAAACGAGAGCAGAGTCGATGCGGCGGTTGCCTGTTTGGTTTGAACTCATGTCTCACATCTTACTCCATCTCCACATGACATTTTCAAATTATTTCTCCATTTTTATCTCTTTGTCATTTGATGTTTCGTCTCCATTTCCCAGCATCCACCCCCCCAACCTCCCGCCCACTGCGATTCTGTTCAAGGACATAAGTCAGCCTTGTCTATCCCAATGCTTCTGACACTTAACCACTGTAGATTCACTTGCTCTGTCAAGTAGCTTAATGGCGACTGTGCGTAAACTGGAATAAATGATTCTTCCTTCGTGCTTTGTGGTCATAGTTACATCAGTTGTATTGATAGTTCTGATGCATTGTGTGTCTTCTGCACTTTCTGCCTCATCATGGCTCTAGTGTTCTTTAAATGTGTGTCTCTCATGAGTTTCTACTAATATGCAGTAAATTGAATATAGACTTAAATGTCCTGTGGCTTCATTTGAACTGCATCTTTCTTTCAGCAGGGAACCGACACTGTGCCTTTTATTACTGTTGCTGTGAATACGCTGAAAGATTTCCGCCTGTGTTTGACTGAATGTAACGAGACTCTGCCCTCTGTCCCTCAGTGGTTAGAAGTGGAGACTATTACTTGTTTGAAACTGACAGTGAGGAGGAAGAGGAGGAGGAGGAGAAAAAAGACGATGAGCCTCCCAAGAAGTCGGCGTTTCAGGTGATTCCAGGGTCAAATGAGTTTTTAACCCCCCCCCCGTCTCAGTTAAACAGTCATAACATGTTTTTGTTATTGATGAGGAAGTCGCTCTCAGTGGAGGTGAAGTATGAACATGTTTATTTACTCAAGGACACTTTTTATATCTCTTTAGCGAAAAACATTGTACCTTTACTCCTTTGCATTTACTGAACCCACTACCTGCAGTTACTTTTGTAATAAGTATTATCAAGTTTAATTTTCTTTACTGATTCTACAGGAAAACCACTAATGTCTGTGATATATATCATAATATTAGATTTTTTTAAACCGGTGCATCGATGCTCTGTTTTATTGTCATATATCTGAGTTGAAAACACTGCTTAAAGAACATATCACTAACTCTCACCAACATTTCTTGTGTTTTAATACTAGTATAACGTGAGTATGTTTGACTGTGTGCATTCACCTGCATGGTATCCTGGGCCAGTAAATCCTCCACTGCCTCTTAACACAGCCACTGTAACCACTAATGTTTCTAACAGTTTGAAATGTTTCCCACTAACCTTCTCCCCTCTGTTGCCTCCCTGTAGCGAGCTATTGGGAAGTTTGTGTCTGCGGTTCTGGCTTTGCCCAGGTCTATCATTAAACTGCCTAAAACCGTTCTGCAGTATGTAGTCAAGGCAGGCAAGGTACTCACCAACAGAACTAACACTGCTTGTTTTCTCTATCGTCTGCCTGCTCGATTCGACGCCACATTAAAGTGAACTTTCCAGCTCGTGTTTGTTGATCTGCATTGTCTAAAACATCAAATCTGATCTGGAATGGAGATTTTCTTGGCTGTATATTGTTATTGTCTTGACTGTCTGGCTCAAAGTGGTTTGCATGATTTGCAGCTTTAATCTCAAATGTTTTGGAAATATAGTCGATGTTGTTTCTCCTTTAATCTCGTGGTCGCCGCTCGGACAGATTTTCAGTTATATCGTGATCCACAAATGCAATATTGATTATTATTTGTAAATACAACTATGGTCGTCATGCATGTTTCCCTGCTTTCATAAAGAAAAAAGAAAAAAAAGAATTGGCAGTATGACAATAGTGACCTTTTAGATTAATTCTTCATTTTCATTTGCAGTTCACTGTAAAAACAAATAACAAAACCATAGATGAAGGTCTTGAAAATAATAAACCTTGTTATTTCTTGTACTGAAATGACTGCTCTTGGCCAAACCTATTAAATATAATATACTTTTAAGTAAAAGATCAAATACCTGTCATGTTGGAAGAAATTAAACCATTTTCTTCATGGCATCTTCAAGAAATGTATGTAGTCGCACAAAGTGTTCATTTAAATATAGTCAGTATATTCATAGAGTAAACCCACCTTACATTTGTGTTGATATTTGTTTTAACTTTCTGTTGTCCTTGCACACAGTGACTTTACATCCTCTCACTGGTATTAAACCACTGCTGCCTCTGTTCTCCAGTTTCTTTACCACGCCTGGATCACAGACCCTAAAGCTGCACTCAGAGCTCGAGGAAAAGAGAAACGCAAATTTTGGAAGAAATACACAAAGGGAGTTAGACGCAGGAAAACTAAGAAAGATGGTAAGCAAGTTCAAGAGAAGAAAAACATGAAATAACAAACATTAATTATCAGTGTGAATACATTTGAATGTTATATAAGCATATTAAAGTTTCTTTACTGTACGTCAGCAGGTCATGTGACGATAGAGGTTGGCGACTCTGACGGGCAAGAAAAAGACGATAGCAAGCCGTCTGGTGGACCAGGTTGGTTTCATCCTCAGAGGATCCTCAAAAAAAATGTACATGGAGATGTCATCATTTTGTTTATTCTGTTTGACTGTGGTTTCACTTCCCTCAGACAACATCATCAAACGCGTGTTCAACATCATCAAGTTCACGTGGGTCCTCTTCCAGACGACGGTGGACAGCTTCACCAAGTGGATGAACGACATGTGCAGAGAGTACATCGACATCTCCACGGTGCTGCGCATTGAGCGCTGCATGCTGACGCGAGAGGTCAAAAAGGTACAAGATCCTCTGCACGAACCCTCTGACTTAGTTTTTAAACTTTCATTTTTGTAGTTTTGGGCATCCTCTCACTTTTTATGTGCACAACCAGGAAGTAAACAATATATTTTAGCTTTTGTCCTTGGTGTATATTTAAATACAGAACCTGCAATATCTAATGACATTAAGTTTCTTTCCCAGCGGAGCGTTTAATTGAATATTAATTAAAAGCTGATTAAACGGAAACTAACGAGCCCATCTCCTCTCACCAGGGTAACGTGCCGTCCAGAGAGAGCATCCATGTCTACTACCAGAAGGCCATGAGGCTCAACATGTCCAGACAGGCCAGTATGGATCAGCTGAGTGAGGACGAGTCGGTCTGCGGCTCCACCAGAGTGCGGAGGAGGCGAGGAGGATACCGCATGGAGAGCCAGGACTCGACGGCCTCCAGAGACAGCATATCCAGGTACACAGATCATGATGGTGGTCATCAGCAATGCAGCATGGGAGACGGAAGTATTTTAGGGAGAGGTTACAGCCTTGTGGTAATTGACGGTTATATTTTCAAAAACTAAAGAAAGCAAACGATATATAAATTCTACCAAACAGAAGGTGGGCATTTGTTTTGTTTTTTTCAGGTTTCCAATGTAATAATAAAATCTAAATTATCTTCTTGACATACCCGGGGGTAAGTGAGAAAATATGTTTCAAAACCTTTAAGGTGTGCACAGTGGTGATCATCACATCCAGCAATTTCATTTACATTGTTTTTGTTGTTGCATAAATGTATTATTCTAATAAGGCTTTATATTGCAAATATAGAATGTTGCTCGGAAACAATCCTTTTCATCGGGTCATTGCACGTATGTTTGGATTCAGCCTTCCTGCATTTCATTTTCTGTACGTTTATGTGACAGGAATATCACTTTCATAGTCTATGGTCTGTGCCTTGTCTGTGTTACCGAACATCGACCCCACCTCATCCTCCTCACCACTGATCATTCCATCTCTCACCACCTCTCAGTGGCGTCACTGAGGCCACCACCCTGTTTTCTCGCCAGTCCACGCTGGACGACCCCGACGGGATGTCTGAGTGCATCCTCAAAACCAGCGAGCGCGCCAGGCCCAAGCTGTGTAAGATGAGCGGCCTGGAAGTGTCCAGCTCATCAATGGACAGTGCCAGCAGCTTCATGTCCAGGTGCCTGGCCTCCACATCACCCTTCACACCCATCGCACGCCTCTGTCACTTTCATTCATGATATCATTTCATCTCCCCATGAAACAAATCCGTTCGCCAAGTGTTGTTGTAATCCGTGTAGTAGTGTTTGTGTAATCCTGCTGACTAACAAACAAAACTCCTTGGCAGAGGTAATAACATAAAATGTCTTTATCTGAGAAGTCATACTTGCGTTACTTGATATGATTGTAGTTCAGTTGGACATGAAAGAGTGCGTCTGAACAGAGACATGAATGCAGATTGTGGTTTTTGTCCCCTGCAGTGAGGCGACCCAGTGCGTCACTCTCTACTCCAGACAGGGAACCACAGACACTATAGAAGAAGTGGAGGATGAGCAGGATCAAGGGGAGGACAGGCAGCAGGTTCCCTGGGAGTCCCAGCAGCTGGATGACAGTGAGGGGCCTGAGGACAGTCCCTGGGGTGAGTCCAGGGGGACAGAGATGGAGGACGGCGAGGGGATTGAGGGGACTGAGGGTGAGGAGGCTGTGGAGGAGATAGTGGTACCAAAGAGCAAGGAGGGAGAAGAAGCTCCCTGGGGATCTTTTGGCCCAGATGAGGGCACCTCCCTCAGGGTGGAGGAGGCAGAGTGTGCCCCCTCTGTCCAGGACAAAGACTTTGTCTCTGAGAGTGAAGACGGAGGAGGACAGCAGGACCTCCTGCAGACAGAGGGGCGGGTAGGGCTGATCTACACCCCCGACACGGATGCTTCCAAAGTGTCTGACGCTGACGTGCCTCCCAGCTACAGCAAGGCAGTCAGCTTTGACCGCCTGGAGGTGAGCGATGATGAGAGTGACATGGACAGGAAGAGGCGTATGATTATGACCTCTGACAGCCACTCTGACAGCAGGTCAGACATCATGTTACCGTCCATGACCACCGAGCTGACCGCCAGTGAACTGCTGCTCAACAAGTAAGTCCAACGAAGAGCTAGAGCCACACAGGAATCAGAATGAGCTTGTCTCAGATACTTCAGATGTTCAGTCTTTGTGCTATCCACAGATCTGAGTAGTGATGTTAACACTTTTCACAACAACAGTGAAGTTTGGATTTGTTAAGAATCAAACATCGATCTGTCTCCGTCTTTTCAGGATGTTTTATGACGAAGAGCTGGAGCAGTCAGATACTTTTTACCAAAGGCAGCCGCTGATCCTCCAGCTCTGCTACGCCCTCTACAACATGCTGGTGGCGCACTCTGAGATGGTGTGTTACCTGGTCATCATCATCAACCACATGGTGTCCGCGTCCTGCGCCACCCTGGTCCTCCCCATCTCCATCTTCCTCTGGGCCATGCTGTCTGTGCCGAGGCCGAGCAAGCGCTACTGGATGACTGCCATCGTCTACACTGAGGTGGAGTCACACGAGACGATGACACAACACAAGTCAAATCTTAATTTTGTCAATCGTTGAATTGCGCTACTCAGGTGGTGGATGAGACCCTGCAAACCCTCTATAATCTGTAGAGACGATGATATGAAAATGTTTTACACAACATAAAAGATCTACCTTATCTCTAACTACTTGTTTTGTGTTTTTATATATATAAAGAAGACAAGCACAGAAAGCTTTTAAATATTATTATTATATTATAATTATATTGTATTCATGTGTTGTTTTTTCTGCAGGTCACCATTGTCATCAAGTACTTCTTCCAGTTTGGCTTCTTCCCTTTCAACCAAAACAAGATAGATAAGAACAAACCATATCACCCTCCCAACATCATCGGGGTGGAGAAGAAGGACGGTTATGTCCACTACGACCTGGTTCAGTTACTGGCTCTCTTCTTCCACAGATCCATTCTGAAGGTACCTGCAAAAGAACCACATGTGAACAGTTAACCAGGTTGTGTGGTGAACTTTACTTTATATCTGCGTTTCCAGTGCCACGGGCTGTGGGACGAGGACGACCCCAAAGAAAAGAGAGAGCCTCCTCGTCAGAGTGAGTCCTCGGACGAGGGACGAGACAGGGACGAGAGTGGGAAGGAATCTGAAGCCACCTCGTCTGTGATCAGTGAGAGGATGGGCTCCACTCACACCTTGAGGTCCATAAACTTTGGGACCTCCATAGATTCAGGAAACGTCCAGGTGCACTTCCCTCAGCAGCAGACCTACCAGCGTCGCAAGAGCTCCAGCGGAGGCTCGCACATTTCTCACCGATCTCTCCACTCGTCTGCCAGATCAAAAAGAGGTGAGGATGCTTCCTGATGTGAAACAGTTTTTAAAGGTTACTCATCATGGATCTCAAAAGAAAACCGGTACAAAGGATCAGACAATTTATCCAAAGCTCTGAAAAAAGGAATGTGTAATTCATATAATACAATAATGATCAAAACAAAAATAATAGATAGAAGGAATCATCCGGACGCGTGTCACACAAATGAACATCTCCTCGCGGTCTCTATCTATTGTTCTTAGGCCTTTGTGAATCTCGGGTTGTTTCAGGGACTAAATTCCTCGTCACAGATCATTTACAACTGGAAATGTGAATTGTTCCAACAGGAAGCACCACTTCCCATAACAGCAGCCACAAGGACGGCAGCGAGGCCAGCGTCCAGCAGAAGACCCGCAAACAGATGATTATGGAGAAGCTCCGAGAGCAGCTCTATAAAGGAAAAGCCTTCATCATAAAGCGGTAACGGTTCAGTTCATGAGTCGTGTCTTTAAACTCCGTCCAACGCTTTGAACGCTGTGGTTGAAGAAAGTGTGTAACTTTATGACGGCACTGATGAGAAGTGTGCTGAGCAAATATTCTGGATGCATAATGGAAGATGCACTGTGGAAAATCACATCAGTGATACAGCAGCTTTCAAAGGTCTAAATTTAGACATTTAATTACAGCTTTCCGGTCAGGCCAGTCAGTGTGAGTTGTGTAAGTGCTGCAACAGACGATCAAAACATGTTATTGGTCTAAATTTAATCACAATGGAACAAGCGGTTTCTGAGATATTACGTCTAAAACGGCAACGGACACGACTTAAATCATTTACGTTTTCTAAAAATAAGAGCAGTGACGTCTGAACCTTCACATGTTTCACAGCTTTAGGGGATTTGATTTAAAAAATAATATACACATAACTCACACACAACACAAAATCATGAGACCGGGTATTTCCACTGTGGTGCTGTGCAGTGAGACGGCAGCGTAACACTCACCTGGACAATTCCCACCTGTTTACCTTGCTCGTAACATTAACTCCTATTGTTATTATAGGTTCATGGAGATCTTTGTTCCCATGAGGCAGTTCTTCTACAACCTGACCCATCCAGAGTACAGTGCCGTCACAGACGTCTATGTGCTGATGTTCCTGTCCGACACTGTCGACTTCATCATCATCGTGTTTGGATTCTGGGCGTTTGGTGTAAGTTTATATCCGAGATTTCCGTGAACTTTAATTCTTTTTGAAAATCTCTGTATATTCGTCCCACGTTACATCTGTGCACATTTTCTCCTGTAGAAACACTCAGCGGCAGACATCACCTCGTCTCTGTCAGAGGATCAGGTGCCGGGACCTTTCCTGGTCATGGTCCTGATCCAGTTTGGGACCATGGTGGTGGACCGGGCCCTTTACCTCAGAAAGTCTGTTATGGGGAAAGTCATCTTCCAGGTGTTCCTGGTGTTTGGTATCCACTTCTGGATGTTCTTCATCCTGCCTGGAGTCACCCAGAAGTAAGAACAAACACAAGCTCCAAAAATGCTTAAGATGTTAATGTAATGTTACATTTTTTGTAGAGCTGCCCTGATTCGCTTGATAATCAATATGTAAATTGTCAGAAAAATAATTGACAGTCAATCAATGAAGTCATTTTTAAAGTAAAAGAGTCAAACATTGTTGGATCGAGCTTCTCTTTTGCTTCTGGGAACTTAACATTTTCATTATTATAGGATGTGCTTGATTAAAATGTGTAATTTAAAAAAAATCAATAATTCAATGCAACACTTACTCAGGAATTTTTAATATAAAATTCTGAAAGTAAGTTCTTCTGTGCAAACAGCAATGACTCATGATTCTGAATGTTTTACATCTGGCAAGAATTTGTCTTGCCCTTTTGACAGTGACAAAATACAAACCATCTTTCTTTAACCATTTTCACGCACACTCTCTCTCTCTCACTCTCTTTTCTCTTTTCTTTTCCTCTTGTAGGCGTTTCAGTGAGAACACAGTAGCTCAGATGTGGTATTTTGTCAAGTGCATCTACTTCGGCCTGTCGGCCTATCAGATCCGCTGTGGTTATCCCACCCGCGTTCTGGGAAACTTCCTCACCAAGAGCTACAATTATGTCAACCTCTTCCTGTTTCAAGGGTGAGTTCAGCCGGAGAACAATCATTTCTCCCAGCTGAGTAAACAGGTCCAAGGCCTCAGTTGTGTCAGGATTTCAGTTTGACGCTGCAGAAAGATTTCACCATCAGCAGGGATTAGTTTCAAAGATGAGAACACAAATGACACATTTCTAATAATTGTTTGTCTTTTGGGTATCACCATTTACATATTCAGCCTTTTAATGTCATGTCATATAATCAGTTCAAACCTTTGTCATTTCCAGAATCGTATATGTGAGAATTTGGTTTTTAACATCACTGTATACTGTATCAGATAAGATTTCCATTTGCTAAGTAAACATCAGAAAAGTTACCAGAGCAGTGTTGAGTCTGTGATTAATTATCTAGTTTTTAGTTTATTTACTGTGACAACTTCTTTAATCCAGTTTCCGGCTGGTGCCGTTTCTGACGGAGCTGCGTGCCGTGATGGACTGGGTTTGGACCGACACCTCGCTGTCTCTGTCCAGCTGGATCTGTGTGGAGGACATCTACGCTCACATCTTCATCCTGAAATGCTGGAGAGAGTCTGAGAAGGTGCTTTTTTATCGTGGCATCAGTCTGGTGTGAAAAGAATCGCTCCTCAGAGCCAGAGCCTGTCATTCAGGAATTCAGGCTAAAATTCATTTCTATCAAAGTCGAACATTTTCTTCTAAAAACTCCCTCATGTTTCTACTTTATGGCTTAAGAAGAATAATTTCTGATCTGCTCAGTGGTGGATGAAAGCAAAATTTATGGGCTCTAAAAGAGATATGTTGTGTGTGTGGTGCCCAGTCTTCCCGCTGGCGCAATAAAAACGTCTTTATTCTCTGCCTCTCTATTGTAAATATTGCACTCTTGCAATCTGTCCAGGTTCAATCTGCAAGTACCTCCTGTACTTCAAGTTTTTGTTCCATCTTTACTGATATTGCCCTGAACAGATTAATTGTCTGAATGGATTTTAAAAAGTGCTGGCACAAAATACACAAGTGTCAGCAGCTCTCAGCAACTCTACCGACTCTAACTACTGTCGTCTGTCCATTTAAAAGAATCCTTCTCGTTGTTCTCCATGTAGAGGTACCCGCAGCCCCGAGGCCAGAAGAAGAAGAAGGTGGTGAAGTACGGGATGGGAGGGATGATCGTGATGCTGCTGATCTGCATCGTCTGGTTCCCGTTGCTTTTTATGTCTCTCGTCAAATCTGTGGCTGGAGTTGTCAACACGCCGCTGGACGTCACGTTTGAAATCACCCTGGCTGGTTTTCAGGTGAGGACGTGTTTTCTTTTTTCAAACCATGTATAGCAACACAGGGTCAGCAAGGAAAATAACAGGAAACCAGAGCCTGTTAATGTCACAAAACAATCTTTTGATTTCAAGTTCAGGTACATTTTAAAGGTTTAGTGTGTGGAATTTAGTGACATCTAGTGGTGAAGGTGCAGCTGAACACCCCTCACCTCACCCTCCACTTCCTAACATGACACAGAAGCTGTGGCAGACTTCAGTTGTCATAAAAACTCAAAAGGTTTAGTTTAGTCTGGGCTACTGTAAAAAAAAACATGGCGGCCTCTGTAGAGAGGACCTGCTCCTGATGTAAATATAAAGTATTTAAATATAAAGGCCCATTTTTCAGGGTATTAACAGACTTGAAGCTGCTTTCTTTAAATGTCCTCTCCTTGCAGCCCATCTTCACTATGAGCGCTCAGCAAAAGCAACTGCAGAATGTGACGCCTGACGAATTTGAAAAGTTTAAAAAGAGATTTGCTGACGACGTAAGTATAAAACAATATACGTTATAAACATCTGCCCCCACACATATAATGCATGTGTCATCGTGTTTATGTTTTTATTGTTTGCTGTGGAAAAGACGAGTGGCAGCACTGATCACAGGGTTAAATTCCCACATCATTTAAATTGCTCTTTTAAACCAGGCAGTGATGTTGAGACATTTAATTTAAAACCACTAATTGTGCTTGAGACAAACTTAGGAAGTCAGGGGAGTTTTGAAATCAGTTGGACTTATCCTCTGGAGAAAATAGGTTTTTGTTTTTTTGTAAAAATCACAATCAATCCAACAGTTATTGAAAGATCCACACGTAGCTTTGTAGTTCAAATCTTTAATAAAACTAAACAAAACATATCAATGTAAAATGCATTAGTGGGAATCTCTCTTACAGTGTCTTATTAATTGTTTTTGTGTTGGTGTTGTTAGGAAGCCCTGCAGTGGCTGGAGGGCTACATGCCAGAGGATCTGATCATCGCTGAGCTGAAAGGCAGCTCCAACTCTCTGTGGACCATCAGCCCACCCAGCAGATCCAACCTGATCGACATGTTGGGCACCGCTGAGGACTTCTCCATCACTGTGACCTGGTCTGTGCAAAGGTATGACAAAACGTCCACTCACCACTGTATCTCATCGTGTAGGAGTTATAATATAATATGATATAAAGGTGGCACGCTCACAACGACCTGCTCTTCCTCTTAATCTCAGAAACCTCAGTCTCGGTGCCAAGGCTGAAACAGCGGCTGGGAAACGAGTGACGTCTCTGGACCAGAAAACTAAGGAGGACCTCATAATTGTCCTGAATGGGACAGGAAATGCTTCTCACGTGTGAGTCTATCAGCTGCACTAATATCATTCAGTCCCACAGATAGATTCCTGTACGTACTGTATATACTCTGTGTCATCATTTATAATGTATTTATGTATTTTGCTACAGTAACAGCCTCTTTTCCTCTTTTTTCTCTGCAGGACTCTAACAAATATCTTTCCTCGTTATATCCGAGCGCCCAGTGACTCCGATGCCAAACCTGTCGACCACCTTTATAAAGGTTACAGTCGCCTTCTTTATCGCTGCATAGTTCAAGATTTAATTTCTGTTTGACAAGAAAAAAAAACTACACAGCGAATAAAAACCTGTGCCACCAGAATCATTTGAAAGATTTTAATATTACAATAAAAGCATGAGACTGTATTGTTTTTGTAATTGATGTAGTGTTTAATGTTTTTGTTTTATTCTGACTGAATTACTGCCACAATGTCAGATGAAAAGATGATGGACATAGATTTGACGTTGATGCGACCTGAGAGTGGCTCCGATCAGATCCAGGAATGGTGGATTGTCAACCAGACAGAGCTCGGCCCGATAGAGAAGAGGACTCCCAAAAACATGTTTGCAGCCGGGCTGGAGGTTTACGTGTTCAGTGACCAAGTCAGTCCGCCCAGTTTGGGATTCCTGGCTGGATACGGGTGAGTGACCTTAAAAACTGTGGAGTTTCTAAATTTCTATCCCCTTTCCTCTCCACCTACCAGCAGGAGAACTAAGATTACAAGGAATTCAAAAACTTAACTGAACATTTCCTTCCTCCCTTCCCTGTCCAGGATCATGGGCCTGTACGCCTCGGTCGTTCTGGTCATCGGCAAATTTGTCCGCGAGTTCTTCAGTGGTATTTCCCACACCATCATGTTCGAGGAGCTCCCCAACGTGGATCGCATCCTCAAGCTGTGCACAGACATCTTCCTGGTCCGAGAGACAGGGGAGCTGGACCTGGAGGAGGACATGTACGCCAAACTCATCTTCCTCTACCGCTCGCCAGAAACCATGATCAAGTGGACCCGGGAGAAAACTCAGTGAAACTCAGTGAGCGGACATTAAGTCATGGAGTCTTTTTTCTGGAGATGCTGGGTGGTGTGAGCCGCTACTTCAGCCTGTTTACCAGCTGAGGGAACACAAAGCCACCGAGGATCAGGTGTGTCCTCCTCAAATTGAGCTCTGATGGCGGTGACGCAGCGTTAGCTCCACACAAAAACACTTTTTTGAGTTAAGAACTGATATTTTTTACTCTTAATTGATGAAAAACAGCAACAAATTGCAGTTACATTATTAACGATTGAGCACAAATTTGCTGGTGCTGTATTTATCTCACAAAACCTGGCTCGGTTTGAAAAGCAGCTGGTGTTCAGTTGGAGATGGACAAATCTTTCTGGGACAATTTTCCCTAAGTTATAAAAAGTCTCCTGATATAAAGGTGGATTTTTTGTCAAACACCCGCCGCTGCTCTTCACGCCTGTCGTCTTACATTTACACAATCGCACAGCAGGCGGAGAGAAGCTCACACTGGCTGCAACATTACACTTTAAGGGCTTTCCACCAAAGATCGCTGCACAATTAATGACCACATGAGCACAATCTTGTAATTTCTCCAACTGGAACACTTTGATTGTGGGACTGTGCAATACTGAGCTCCTGTTTCTCCCGACGTGGACCGAAAGAAAAAGGCAAGCCCCACTTTTTTTTTCTTTTTTTTTTAAACGTCAGAGGCCACATGGGAAACTCTCCAGAGACACGATAAACCGAAAACATCAGACAATCTTTACTTGCCTTATTTTGTTTGTATGAGACGAACTGAAACTCTAATCAACTACATATCTTTCTCAGGAAGAGCTGTTTTCACAGATATTGTAAGTGTTTAATGTTGCAACATGTAGGCTTCGACGGATTTAAAAGATTGTGAGACCGAAGAAGCACTGAGAACTATTTAAACGGCATGAAACTTAAAATGTGGATATTGTTCAGACGGACCGACACTGACTATGTTTACCGCACATGGACACAGATAATAAGACTGCAATCAGAAAGTACATTTCATCGCTGTGGACTTTTTTTTCCCCTCCACACAGAACGAGATTATTTGCCAATCATCTGAATCACCTACAGGTTGGCTCGAGTCGAAACCAGCAGAGGGATGTTTCTGAATCAGGGTAACGTGCATTAGGTGGTCGACTCTTGCACATCACTTGTGAACCTCTCGCTGTTTTTAACATTCACGAACACTGTGGCACCCACAGCCGTGCAGTCAGTCGTCAAGGAAAAATACAAATAAAAGATTCCTCACATGAAGGGCTCTAACGTGAAGCCCTTTGGTCCAAACTATGCATTAGAGGACACTGTAGCATGAAAGAGAAACTTCATTATTCATTTTCATTACATGTACATTCAAATGTAAAGGGATGGGATGAGGAGGAATGAAATGTGAAGATGTACCTGTATGTTAAGGTAATGTGGTATTATAGAGGTCCAGAGATCTGCAAATAAAACGTCTGGAAAGGTGTCGAGCTTTTGTTCTTGGCTGCACGCCGATTGCAGCTTGATTGAATTTAGCTGCTGGGCCTTGGCGCAGGGATGCATTCAGTGTCCATCAAGTTCAGTTTACATTTTCACCCCTTTTTTCTTCTTTTTGTTTGTCACTAGTATTTCTTTTTTAATTGCATATCATAATAATATATATTTTTTAAGTGCTCTAACACAGTGAGTGAACCGGGTGGTACTACATCTGGATTGGTGAGCCACACAAGGAGCAGTTCAGCCATTCTCACATTTAGGTTCACTCAAGTCCACTTTCATTGTTGCTAATGCACAGATGCACTACACTCGTTCAGAATGGGAGGGAATCAGAAAAGTAGCATGAATGTGTGCACATTAAATATCGCTTAACAGGGAGAGAGCATTAGCCTCATCAAAGATAAATAGGTCTGAGGAAGCTACACAGTCATTACATGTCTGTCAGAGGCTGGTTCAGTGCAGACGTGCAGCCGCCGTTCGTCTCACTGATGTGGAAAATTTGTCTGCTAACTCATTTAAGAAAATGCACAGAGACCATAAAATGCCACACAACGGAAATGTTTATTGATGTGCAAAGTTTTGAGATCAGCTCCTGAATATATATATATATATATAAATATAAATAAAAGACTTGGGCGACAGCACAAATAAAACAATAATGTAAACAATCCCTTTTCTTACTATTCTAATTGTGATATTAGAACATTTTTGATTGGCATTTAAATGACGTTCTTACAGAGGGGTTTTCACTTTTATAGTCTGAGCAATAAGATAAAGAAATACACAAATCCAACTTTTTAAAGGAAAACAATGGGCTGAATGCACAGAACACACCACCACACAGTCCCTTTTTCATGTGTTCGTCACTTTAGTTTGAGGATTTCACGATGGGAGCTGTAATTAAGACACAGCCAAGACATTTTGTTTAACATTAAGGTGGACGACACCTCGAGGTAGACAAATGAAAACAGTCTACGATTGGATTTAAGCTGCGTCTCCAGGAATTGTACAGTTTTTTTTTTAATCTTTAAGCACTTATGTTCAAGACAATAGTGTGAATCATTTTTATGCATCAATATGAATAATATTAATTCACCATAGCATTGACTTTGATTAAACTTCTCATTAATCCAAACATGCATCGACAGACTCATTGCATATTGTTCCAGTAGATCTTCAACAGGCCGCAGCCGTCAATACTGAATATAATATAAGTAAATACAAATAAACACCTATACACTGATCATCTTACTGGGCATATTTATTAGAGCATTTCTGATTAATTATATTTCTATTGTAAACTACCCACAAACAATAACAGCAAAATTTACAGCTTCACGGTGACGAGAATAGAACATTTACATACAACAGGCTTTCATACATTATTGAATATTGAACGTTTTCATCACACTGAGGATCCAGCTCAAAGAAAACAAATAAAAAATCAGTTTAAACGCAACTCTTCTGCAACACCTACTGTAAATGTTGGATTCTTTTTCTTCCTCTTACTATTTTTTGCACAATAAAGATTTAAACAGTCGCCTTTCTGAATTTCAGAGCTGAGAGGGTTAGTCAAGGTGTTTTAACTCATACACAGAGGGTGCAGTGGTGGTGGTGGAGCAGCAGATGGGTTGATTCGACTCTCTTTAACTGGAGGCTAACACAGCCCCCCCTCATAATCGTCCTCCTCATCGGCCGGCGCCCCGCTAGTGCCACCCTGTGGGGCAGCTGCAGCCTTCTTCTTCTTTCCTCCTCCTCCGGGTACCCTCAGGGAAATGGCCAGTTTGGCGTACTGTGCGACAGCGGAGAATATAGTGAGTCATCGTATCTCAGGTTTAAGCATTTCCTGTCCTTGTCCAACACTTGGTATGGTCTACCCGGTTTTAACTTACACATGCCAAATCAAACTTAAACAGTGTGTATCAGCAGTACTCACATCATTGTCCATGTATTTCAGTAAAGGTGAGTTGCACACGCGGTAGACCTGGTCCTCGTCCTGCTCGTCGTAGCCCTGCAGTAGCGTCTCCATGGCAACGCAATCTTCGCTTCCACTGTAGCCAGGCAGACTGATGGGAGATCAAGTAGCACTTCATGAAATGATCCTCAGTTCAAGTGTTGCACCGTGAACGTGGGGTGAAGTCAGCGGTCAACAAAGTCTCAGATGAGCCAAGACACAAGTTTAAAACTTTTCATACCTGTAACCTTCTCTGACACATTTATCAGCGGCTACGTAGTCCCCTCTGTGAAGATGAATCAGCACTTGGGCAGTTGTTTTCTGAAGAATGAGAAGAACAAAACAAACAGCAAACTGATGAAAGTTCAATTTTCTATTTGATCACAAATTCACCGATTAGAAGAAACACAGTTGTGTGATTTCTTTTGAATGAAACTCAAGAAAGCATTTTTAATCTCTGCTGCTGTACAGTGACAAACCAAGCAAAATGAACTCCACTGGTGGTGTTTAACCTGGACTGTACAACCTGCTGAGAAACCACAACACTGTCTGTTCCGGAAATTTAATCTGACTGACTGTAGTTACACGTTTAGTTTTGAATAATGTGCATGGAGAGATAAATAAGATAAATATAATGAGGTTACGGTAACTCACCTTGAAGCACATTGGGAAGTTTTCAATCTCTTTGTACATGTTCTTCTCTTTCTGCAGAGCGACGGCTGCTTCATCCAACCTGGTTAGAAAGATGAGAACAGAGTAAGGACAGAGGAGGAGCAGGTACTGAGGGTACTAATAACAGGATTCTGTGGAGAAGCATCCAAATATCTGACACTAAATATATGAATTTAATACAATATATTGAAAAGAACACAGGAAAAAGCAGGAAAGACACAAGGAACATATCTCAATTTTATTATTAATTATTAGTGGTGAAGTCCTGTCAGAACAAAACTCATTAAAAAATACTGTTTGGTGGTTATAGATCACCATCAGGTAAACCATTTTTAAT